TCACGATTAGTCCGTAGTCTCTACGCCACTGGGCTACATTGCTTAGGTGTCAGTACTTCTCAGAAATAATGTAGTTGTTATAATTATTTGCTTGAGTTAACATAATGTAAATGTATCTTAATTAATTAACCATATTTAAAAGTTGGAGTCGAAGTTTACATTTTTGATCGAGGAAACGCTATGAACCTGAAAATGAGCTCTTGCAAATGATAACAGTAGTCACAAAGCAAAGCTGTAAAGAAAGTACATGTTTGGCATAATATTTAAGATCCATCGGGAAAGAAAAACATCGCAATATATAGAAAAAAACATTTTGAACGTTGTTGTATTTATGCTAATATGAAATTTCGATTGCGTCTCAAAAAAATGAAAAGGGGCAATTGGCTAGTGTATAGTAATAAGCGTATATGAGTGAGAAATGTCCAGATCGGTCAATATAATGGAAAGAGAAAATTAGTTATTTTCATGATTTCGGCTCATTGAAATGATTAATCGGATAACGTTCAGTACTAATTAGTTTTGCGCATGGCTAGCACATTCGTTGTGATTGGTACAGTTTGAGAAGGACAAAAGGCCAAAAAACTTCTTTATCTGAACTGTACACTCAATTAATCAATGAAGAAAATCCTATTCTAAAAACACAATTGGAAAATACTGACAATTTGGGCACATCAGTAACTTTTATCGGCTCAACTTTCCCCCTAGGAGGTTAGAGTCACAATTGTTTTTAATTTCTAATCATATAAAAATAATCACTCAAAATTGTAACAACAAATCATCAAGCGCAAGAAGCTATTGGCGTACACTAAATATGTTTAATCGTCAGCAGAACTCCCCTATTCAAATCAGGCACCCCCTTGATAAAGACATCATCGTTGATGATCCCCGTGAAGTAAGCATTATAATGAAAGGCTATTGGTCAAAGGTTGGAGAGCGTAATGCCAATACAAAACCTAGTGATAAAAATGAACAAAATAAGTCTAAGATTGATGATATTGAAGTGCAAAACACACATTATGCAGGCAGTAATTCAACGCTTGATCAAATTGAAATGAATGAAACGATTATAGCTAATCAAATCAAATCCTTAAACAATGGGAAAGCAGCCGGGACAGACAGAATACCTAATGAATTCCAATTAAATATGGAGGGCAGACAATAGCTTATTCACTTAATAAAATGTTCAATATTTTCAAAGCACTTGAAAAATTTCCACAAGAATGGAAAGAGGGAATCGTTAAACCTCTTCATAAAAATTCAGACCGGAAAGATTTTGATAACTATAGAGGAATTACTCTTAGTTCAAATGTTTTCAAAAATTTTTGTGCAATTTTAAATCGTAGCATGACCACTTTCTGCGAAAAAGAAAACATATATGGTGACTTTCAAGGGGCTTTCCGTAATGGGAAAAGGCTTGAGAACAACATATTTGCCCTCAAACACCTATGTGGATTAAGGAAAACCCGTGGGCTCAAAACATTTACGGCTTTTCTTGATATCTCAAAGGCGTATAATGTAATGAATAGGGATTTAATGTTTGTACAATTATGGCAAAAGGGTTCGTGGAAAGGCCTGGAACTTAATAAGGGAAGCCTACAGCGGTTTAAAAAATAAAGTTGTTTTTGATAATATTGAATCTGATTGGTATGACGATGAATCGTTTGGAGTTAAGCAGGGTTGTGTATTATCATCCACGCTGTTCTCTATTGTTATGACAGATTTGCAAGATGAGCTTATGAAATCGCAACTCGGTCTTTCATTCGAGAACCAGAAAATTCCACTTCTTATGTTTGCTGATGACATAGTCCTGATGGCTCAGTCTGAAGAACAACTAAAAAGTCTGTTAACAATAACTAATGATTTTGCTACCAAATGGGGATTCAGGTTCAGTGAGAAAAAGTCTAAAATTCTCATTGTAGGCCAAAAAACTGATTTTGAGAAGAAGTGGCCATTTGGTGACTTAAGAATTTCAGAGGTAAAAACTTACAAATACTTAGACTAAATAGGTGTCTTATTTGACAGATCATTAAAAGATCATACCCATCTTATGAATTTGATAGTCCCAAAGGGAAAGAAGTTAAAAGGCTATGTGACATCAATTCTGAATAAGCACTTGAATGTTAATAGAATCACTTTCGGTGATAGACTTTATAAAACGGTAGTAGTCCCATCACTCTTACACGGGTCTGGAATACTTTTACTAGACAAAAAGTCGCACATTAATAAAATGTCATCCATACAATATAATGTGGGATGCGCCATAATGGATGTCCATTGCAAACCTGCCAAAGTTGCCCTGTTTGGTGACCTAGGCTGGAAGCCCATAGAAACATTGTTGGAAAAGAGCATGATAAATTACTATATTTACCTGAAGTCCCTTAACAAAGACAACTTACATGCAAGGTTACTTAACGACATGGAAATAAGAGCCCAGAAGGGTAAGCAATTGGGTTGGGATTTCATTGGTAGTGTCTATAGAATCCTTAACAAATATGATCTAGATTTTAATACTGATTTTAGTGATCTAAAACAGATGTTTGAATGTAATATGTCTGATAAGCTGAAAAGCGATTTTAGTGACAGTGTTAATAATATGACTAGTCTTAAAACCTATGTACATTTAAAGAACAGATATGGCAAGGAAGAATACCTTCGAACATTCTCGAATGACTTCCTAGGATGCAAATATAAATTCCTTGCAAGGAGTGGTAGATTCAAATTAAGATCTGAAACCTGTAAATGGAGAAATCAGAGTAATGATCCACTGGACGATAAATGCACATATTGTAACTTGAATAGCGTAGAAGATATGACACACAGACTCTTAATATGTCCCCATTTTAACGATTACCGTATACTATTTTATAACTCAATCACTAATATTGATCCAAATATATGTACTCTGTTTTTTGCTTTACCAATTGAACAGAAAATTGTTTGGATTTTGGGAGATGGAGCAATGATTGGAGGACATGACTTTTATTGTAAATTTGATAAAGTGTCAAAGAATTTTTTAAAACAGATTTATAGTCATAACTTTTAAAGTAAAGATGTAACCATTTTAATGGATATTTTACCTGGATGCACCTAATTTTAGTGTGCCACTGTTGTAAAAGTGTAATTCCAAATAGATAAATAAAAAAAAATAAAAAATAAAAATTGTTTCGCTAAACATGCCTTCTTTAATTAAAAAAGCCAGAACGTTTCAGGCCAAGAGACTCAACTTCAACAAATGTTCTAAAAAAATCCTTGGATGGGGCGGGGGGGGGGGGGGGTGGCAGATCTGGCAAACGATTTAAGGGTTAAAGCATAAAGCGGTGGCTCACCCGAACGAGCAATTTTTTTTTATGTCTGAATATTTTCAAAGGATATGTATCGATATGATGGTGATACCTGAATTTAACAATGTTTTTCTCTTAAAGTGCAAATGTTTTTGTTCCTTTCTACCAATTCTTGAGAATGAAATAAAATATATTTCCGAACCTTATTAGAACAAAATAGCATATACAACATTTTCTTATTTTAGACCTCTCAATATTATAGTTATACAGAGGAAATTTTAGGTTGATTTTCAATAAAAAATTTAAAACAAAAACCCCCAAAATATATAAAAATTAAGATAAATCTTTTATTTCATTCACAAGATACTTTTTTTAAATCAACCAAACTTTCCTTTGTACAATTACAATATTGAGAGACCTAAACATGTTTTGTTTATGTTGTTTTGTTCCAATGAGTTTCGACTAGGATGAAAAAAAATTCTTTTCTTCATCCTAGGTTTCGAATAGATGTTTCATTTCATTCCGAACATATGATACCAAGAAGAACAAAATAAGTATCTGATGTGTTTTCTAAAGCAATATAGAGAAAAGTATATATTTTTATTTCAAATTATAGTGTCACCATTCAAATGACCATTGAATTGACGATGTGTAAAATGTTCAGAATTTGTTGATGTCTGGTTTAAGAGAAACATGTTTAAAAAGTTCACCAGATCGATACCAATCCTTTAAAGCTACCTTATGCTATAGGTTTCTCTCCCGGAAAATCGGTGATGTCCCTTTATAAATATCATACCTCACATACCTTATTTATAACATGAGACCCACTTAGGGGTATAATATTGCTGATATTGAGAAAATCAACAGAACAACTACATGAGTTCGCAGCATTTGAAGGCCACGGGGGACTGTTGGTAACTTAAGCCAATCACATTCAGAGTCGTTTTTGAATTTCCATAACTGTCATTTACGGTGTTCGCTTGGCCATGTGACCAAAATGATAAACAAATTTTGGCCATGCAAATTGCATGGAGATTCCATGGTTTTCATAGAATCCCATTCAGTTGCATTCAATTTCCCATGGACAGTGCACGGCCCTCATTAACAATATTTCTCGCAGCCTGCATGGACTTTGCATTCGGATTAACGTACATTGCATGGATTTGAATGGATGCTGCATGGAATGAGCATGGATATGAATGGATGTTGCATGGACCATCAAAGTCCTTGCAAAATCGCATGTGGATCGCATGCCTTTCATATAAACCCATTCAGATGCATGAAATTTTGCATGGAATATATTTCTCGCAGTCTGCATGTACTTTGCATGTGGATTAGAGTGCCTTGCGTGGATTCGAATGGATGATGAATGGACTGTGCATGTATTTGAATGGACTTTGCATGGTTTTCATGAATTAGTTTTAATTTTGCTGCATGGATGTTGCATGGGAACGTCGCATTCATGCGGTTTTGCTGCATTATAATGAAGTGATATACGAGTACAAAACAGAACAGACTTAAGAAAATACCAGAATAGGCAAACTACTTGATCACAGAGATTCCTAAATGTGTGAGACACTTAAACCTTCAACTAGTTTTCAACTAGATTATCTTTATAGCTTTATACGTTTATACATTTTCAAGCTGTATTATTTGCAATTATAAACAGTTCAACTGCACAAATATTGCCGTTTATTTTGCTGATTTATTATGTTCATTCAAAAATCACTGTATGATTAGAAACAATCTAGTTTATTTTAGCTGACGTGCCTCTCCTAGCCGAGTCCTTGTCGAACTTGAACCAAATTGTTATAGGAAGTTTTATTTATTACGCAGGAGAGGGAGTAGTTTTTCAGGTAATTGTAGAGGAACGTCCACACACATCCATTCTATGGTGCTGCAGTATATGTTACGCAAAATTTGGCCCTGCATCCACCATTGACCCATAGTTTTCGTGAGGACCACTGGTCCGTACCCCATAAGTCAGAAGTACATTTTCGTCTGGAGATAAAATAATTAAGGCATGGGTTATGATTTTGTCAATTGCTATATTTCTGGTAAAGCTTTTACTTGTACTATAATAGAGTGGTAAAATATATCCATTTCTGTTACAGAGATATACTTTTATTGGTGGATTGTTACATAGAGTTAGTTTCTTTGAAACATAGGATCAAATCCTAGGCTAAGTGATGATGTGAAAAAGTCACTTCACCTCGGTGGGAACTGAACCCATGACCTCCAGATTAGATCTCGGATGCTCTACCACTTGAGCTACGGAGCCGACTGGCTTTTACACATCAACACTGCATATATGGCTTCTCTGCCATGACTTACATGCCCAGTTCCCTGGACCCTCATAAGGTTTACCTGTCTTTCCAGGTTGCCAATCACACTATTCGTGATGTCACATATGGTCTTTCCAATGTGCCATTCCTGACCGACTATGTATTTTTATTAGTTAATTTGAAACATAGGATCAAATCCTACGCCAAGGGCTGACTTTAGATTAAGATTTGACCTTCAATGACCTCCTCAAGGTCAAAAAGGTATTTTTTCAAACTGCTTCAAATTGACCTCAGAAGTTCAAATCTGAGAGGGCGCGAGGTATGCTAAACTTGCGATGGAAAAAGAACAAAAGTAGTGCCATGTGAGCGCCCTGTGATTGGGGTCTCTCTCATTGACAGTCATCAAAATTGCTTCATATTCAAATACATGTCCATAAACTTGAATATTGTAACGTGTAAACCAGGTGTAGACAGTAATGTTGATCACTTAACCACTGATTTTGTCAATATTACATGAAAACGTAAATCGGTACGTGACATTAAAAAGTCTTTCGAAAAATTGTTTAACCCTGATTTTGAGGAATCGACGATACTGACTAGAAAACTATCTGAAGTCTTAAAGATGCGGTAAGCTGCGCTATTTGTAAAATTTGCGCTCTGCAATGAAAGTTGCGGGAAATTGTCACGCGCGCAGCAAAGCATTTTTCTCTGGTGTCAGTATTAGGCCAGGATATAGCATGGGTTTTGGGAAGTTCAAGGGCCACTTGATAGACATAATGTTTCTGAAAGATGACTTCATTTAGCATCAATTCATATATGTCTGGGTCTTTTTAGTTTGTGGACGAAGGATTCTGGGCAGTTTTACCCCCCTAGAATAATATTTCAGGGGGGTACTATATTATCATTCTATAAAATCAGTTATGCATTAACTATAGCACTGATTTATACATATTATGTTGCTAGCACTGTAGCCAAGTGTTTCCCAAAGTTATAGGGAGATATGTTGATCGGTTTTGACAAAAACACAATTTATAGTAATAAATAAGCATATTTTCATTCGTTTTTTAGTCTCGCCATTTTTATTGTTGCAGCTTCAGAGAAATAATTGGCACCAATACTGCTTTAAGAAGTAATCTAAAATTATTTCCAATTTATGTGGGGAATTGTAATATAAAGAATGTAATGATACAATACTATTTGGAATTTTAAATATGGCTTTGTTGACCCCTACCCCTTAGAAATATAAGAAAGTGAAGGTGGCACAATTAGATCAGAAATTCTATAATGAGTACTAATACTTCTCCAAGTAGCATTTTAAAAATGTATGTGTGATATATAGAGGTAATTTAATGGGAGGGATTGAATATGAATTTTATTCTGAGGGAAAATATGATATTGGCCAAGGAAAACATCATATTGACTGAGGGCAATAGCCCGAGTGTTAATATTGTTACGCGGTATATGGCATACATTCATGTTTGCACGGTATTTGTGATACGGGTGAATAAGCCATACTCACCAGCGGTATATGGCATATTCCGCAGGTGAGTATGCAATATTCCGCAATGAATATGCGATACATTGATTTTCTTGAATACCCGATACTCCCCTGCGGAATATGTCATACTCACTTGCAGGATATGGCATATACCGCATGTGAATATGACATATACTGCAGTTGAAAACGTGATACAGAAAGCCTTGATTTGATTGGTTGCGAGAATCGACTCTAAATGTAAAACTACGTTGGATTACCAATATAGTTAGTGCGTCAAGTACTAATATATGAATCCTGGATTGAAATTGGTGACTGATACTTCTGCTAAGTTAATATATTCGATACACAGTACTGTTGATTCAGTAATCATTATAATAATTTATTAAGTTTTATTTGTTCGTTCAATCGATGCAATTGACAATTGCGTACTTCCGTATCACATTCTCATTGGTTAGTGTGTATGCCATATTCCGCAGGTGAATCTGTCATACACCGCAAGTGAATATGCCATATTCGTTGCGGAATATGACATATTTTTGCATCATGTTTACCGCGTAACAAATATGATAGTTCTCGAGGCGAATAAAATAAATAAAATTCATATTCAACCAACACCATCAATAACCTATTTATTAAATTGTTTTTTTCTGAAACATAAAAATCAAGAGAAATCCCTGAGAATGGTTCTGATATAGGATCTGATATGTGAATTAGGCTGATACAGAATCCAATACGGGATCTGAGATAGGAATCTAGCTATAATATGGGATCTTTTGAATATCAATTCTATTCCCTGTTTATTTCCCAGGGAAAACATGCTATTATGGAATAATGTTAGAATTTTTTTTAATTTTCTGGATGCCTTTGTTAGTCTAAAGGGTCATTTCTTCATGTTAAATTCTTGTTTTTATTATATTTCTCTTTTTCTAAAATTTTATCAAGAATTTCTCTTTATAAGTCAAGGTCTTACGATTCTTATTCAGATGCATCAGTCTGCATTTGTATGCTCATTATTTCATTTAATATATCCTTAAAAGTACAATAATTTACATCCAAATGATGCCTTGAAGCATGAGCTCTGTCTAGTCCAGCATAGCTTACCCAGGCAGGCACATGTGCATTTCATCAGCTAAGGGATTCCTTCCAGGGGGAACAGGTAATTGCTATTGAGTCTATGCTGTCAATCTTAAAACTAAATATAGTTTAATAGGGAGTAATAGTACATGTTGTCCTAAAATGAAACAACACATTGTCTGGGAGTCCGACCGCATGGTTAAAACCCAAAGTTCTAAATGGGAACTAAAGACAAAAAATGCATACATTGTTACAAATTATAATTTGAAATAACAAATGTGAAAACTTACCTTGATATCTGCTTATTCAATACTGGTAGTCTGAGAGTTGCATCACGTATGTAGGCAGGGGCACGAGCCATTGGTTCACATGTCCTTTTAGCATATCTATAGCTTGAGCACTGGAAGCAAAATGTACCTGAAAGAGAGATTGAGTAATGAAACAGACAGCATAGACAGATAAGACAGCGTGTCATAAATACATGTAGAGTGTCAAAAGAGTGAATCAAAGGTTCATGTAATATGAGGACCTTGCCTCGTCTATCCTTGTCTAACATATTCTTGCATCAGGTCTCATCTCCCTCTCTGTACATTATTTTCTGCAAGCTCCCTCCCCATTTTCCAGGAATATTTTTTAGAGCTTTTTGTATTCAATGATGCAAATATGACTCTCAGATATGCTCAAAATGCACCAGGGGGGCTTTCCAGTTTTTTTCTGAGGGCGTGACCCAGGACCCTCAAGCTTTCGATGCTCTGCACCTGCCTTGGGAAATCCTTCGGATGGGCCTGTTGTCTGAGCTTAATGGACAAATGCCGTAAAACACCAAGACAATTCTTTGACAGCAAGATACAAGCCATTATATACACGGTGGGTATAGTCTGTCACGTGACTTAAGTTTTCGTATGTGTTCGTGTGATGCATTTCGTTCAGTGCTTCAGGTATATATGAAAGTACACGCGTGTCCCGGTTAGAGAGAAATTCACACTTTTATGGCTCAGAATATCGTATGTTGGCATACATATGCAAAGCTTCAACTTTATTGCTATATGATCACCGTGTTCACGTCACAATATTAATAGAGAGTTTAAGCTAGCGATATTTTTCACAACGCAAAACCAATGAATCAATACAATAATGTATATCAGTATACATCTTTTAAGATTTCATCCAGGAAGTGATGTCATCAACTCTCACCTGTCATAACCTTGCCATTACAGTATAGGAAAGTAGCACAAAATCACATCTAGAGAAGAACCCCTCATCTTTTGTGGAACAATATTTTCAGAGCTTGTCAACTTAGAATTAAAGAAGTGTTTTTCAGAAGGATTTAAATCATAGACCAAAATTGAAAAAAATATTCTGCTGGTTTTGTTATTCTTAATAGCTCCTTTCCTAATACAAAGTTGCAAAGTTAAGATGATGACATCACTTCTTGGGTGAAATCTTAAAAGATGGCAGCCTACCGGAAGTGAACACTACATTTTTAACTAATCAATAGTGACTATATCAAAACATTTGTCCATGTTTTGCTGAGCATGGTAAGTATATATATGGTTATAACTGCCATATTAGGAGAGAGATGGTCTGGTACGGTCTCCAATAACTATTTCGACCAACCTTGTTCACACCGTTCACCAGACGAACCAGGTGGGCAGAGACATCTATAGTTATCACCGAATGTGTTGACACAAATCGAGCCATCACCAAGGCATGGATTTTGAGCACATGGATCATCTACAATAAATAGAGATATGTAAAGTTTTAAAGGAAAGTATTTATAAAAACATAGATATCTTATAATGGGAACCCTTGAGGAATGCATACCCTTTAACTATTAAAAACATATCGGTATGCAAGGATTTCAAAAGACATAAAGGATGGGGCAAAACAATTCGAAAATTTTTCAATTCATTATTCAATAAGCATGTGTTACCTCAATCAATAACCAATTCAATTTGACATATCAATATCCACAAGTGAATAAAAACTTTTATATTATATATATATTACTTACTTTAATATCTGTCATATGGAACGCTAAGTACATGTACATATATTCCAAGGGACTTACTGGTTTGTAGCCATGAACATGAACAGTCTGGAGCACCAGGAACATCTGTGAAACAAAACAAGGGATGCATATTATAGGGACATAATTCATTGAGGAATTCTTGTATGATAGTATATTGTCCAATGTGGTGTAAAATGTGCATTATTAATCAAATCCGACAACCAAGTCAATTGGAATCTTAAATTGGAGTGGTAACTCAAAAACGTACAGTCTGTAGCAATTTTTATCATCGAGTGAGCATTCGTTCAAGAATTATGAAACACATTTTTATTTTATATATTATATGTAATCTACTAATGGCGTGCATCTATGTCTGCTCCAGAAAATTCTCTTTGTACGCTTTTTCCAAATAATAAGCGACATCTTACCTTCTTCACACTGTACGCCAGTTTTGTGTGGGGGGCAGATACAACTGAGTCCCTTGTTCCAGGGGATACTTATACCTTCATTGCAGGTTTCTGGGAAAGGAAAGAAAGTATCTAATTTACGCGTGTAAGTAAAGCAAAAAACCTAAGAATATATATCATTTGATTTAAATCTAACGGTAAATACCCTCTATTTTTGATATACAGTATAGACTATAGAGGTATTATTAGGTTCATACCAGGACAATCCCCATCGTAACATGACTGGGTGTCTGTCAGATCACTTGGATTGCATTCGCTTCCTCCATTAGCCGGGGCTGGGTTGTCACATGCTCTTGTGCGAGTTTGGTCTCCATCTCCGCATGTTGTAGAGCACGCTCCCCATGCTGACCACGCACCAGGACCTCCGTTAACTAAAATAAAAAAATAATAGATAGTTTTCCAATTCTGTTCCTAAGAATAATAATTTTCTTATTCTCAAGGACCTTAATGTATTGAATTGAACCTTTGTATTACATGCAGTTCTGAAATGAATTTGTGTTCATTGACCTTTGAACTATATTAATGTTTAGAATCTAGTAATACCAAGTTCATACCAGAACAGTCTCCATTATTACACGGTTGTGTTTCAGTCAGATCACTTGGATTACATTCGCTTCCTCCATTAGCCGGGGCTGGGTTATCACATGCTCTTGTACGAGTTTTGTCTCCATCTCCACATGTTGTAGAACATGCTCCCCATTCTGACCAGGTACCAGGTCCTCCATTGACTATGAAAATAAAAAATAATTACCCAATTCTATCACACTCAATATATTGAATTAATTGAAATGTTATTTGTACTTCACACCGAATAGTGAACTGAATTTGTGTTCGTTGAGCTTCGCACTATATTAATGTTTAGAATCTTGCAATGCCAAATTTATACCTGGACATTCTCCATCATTACACGGCTGTGTTTCTGTCAGATCACCTGGATCACATTCGAGTCCTCCATTAGCTGGGACTGGATTGTCACATGCTCTTGTTCGAGTTTGTTCTCCATCTCCGCATGTGGTAGAGCACGCTCCCCATGCTGACCAGGTACCAGGACCTCCGTTAACTAGGATAAAAGTAGTAAATAATTAACCCGAAAACAGCAACTTCGCGGCGTCGCAAATCCCACCGAACAAAATGTTTTGAAAAATAGTGGCCATTTGGTAAAATTCGTTGGCATATATCGTCTTTTAGTGAGACATATTGGACTTCATAAAGTAAAGTTGTTAATCTTATAGTAAATATTATGAATACCAATGCTGTTAAGTAAAAGTGTTACAGAAAACTCGAACATTTCTTGTAAGCAACTTGAGTTGATCAAACATGTGATAATTACGTTGCAAAAAGTAAAGTGATTTCAATACTATATGTTTAATTGTGTAGGTATGAGAAGTTGAATTTTATTGGAGAAACATTTTCGATCACACTCAAATAGAAGATTCAAAAATGATTAACAAAATTATAATCATGATGGTTATGCCATCATACACACCTGGTATCTGTGTACTAGCTGGTGGTTCACTTTCGAGGGTAGTTGTTGGGAGTATAGCAGTGGTTAGTATCGTCGTTGTTTCCATTAGGGTAGTCGTTGGTTCAAGAGTGGTTGTTGGTAGTACTGTTGTTTCCAATAGGGTAGTCGTTGGTTCAAGAGTGGTTGTTGGTAGTACTGTTGTTTCCAATAGGGTAGTCGTTGGTTCAAGAGTGGTTGTTGGTAGTACTGTTGTTTCTAATAGGGTAGTCGTTGGTTCAAGAGTGGTTGTTGGTAGTACTGTTGTTTCCAATAGGGTAGTCGTTGGTTCAAGAGTGGTTGTTGGTAGTACTGTTGTTTCCAATAGGGTAGTCGTTGGTTCAAGAGTGGTTGTTGGTAGTACTGTTGTTTCTAATAGGGTAGTCGTTGGTTCAAGAGTGGTTGTTGGTAGTACTGTTGTTTCTAATAGGGTAGTCGTTGGTTCAAGAGTGGTTGTTGGTAGGACCGTTGCTTCCAATAATATGGTAGTTTCCGGCTCAAACGCTCGAGTGAGAACTGACCATACATATAAGAATTGATTAATTGGGAGAAAAGTGGCAGAGGGCACGTGAATCGCACACATAAGTACCAAAAGGCCCTCAAGCTAGCACGAAGACTATGACGTGAGGATAATGGAGTGAGGAGAAGTGAGGAGTAGGGTTACAACAGTGACCTCTTTATAAGAATTCAAAATTCTCACAAATCATCTTATCTTACCAAGAAACATCAGAGGAGCATGAAAATATGTACTTTTTGCATTGTCAGAGAATAATGAGGCCCAAAACGTATTGTTATCTAAAAGAAGGATGTGCCTTTCTACCTCCATTCCCCCTTATTTTTACATCAGAAAGTGTTACTTATCTTTGTCTCCTAATTACCTAATTAGAGACCTATTAGTTTAAAAAATTATGATTATAAGATAATTGCTTTTACTTTGACTAACAGATTAAAACATTTAGTAAAAAACTTGTAAGTATAAATCGATCAGCGTACATAGAACATAGATTCATAGGTACAAACGCTCAACTACTAATTGACGTAATTGAATATGCAAATGAGGAAAATATACGAGGGGGTATCATTAATTAGTGAGACAAGTACCATAACTTTTTCAAATTTGCTTCAATTGCATTGATATTTTCACCAAATAACATCTTGGTAGTATGCTACATCCTCATGTAGTTTGATTAGTTAACTCTATCATATAGTGGTTTAAGAGATTTCTATATATGTGACGTCATGACCAGTGACCCGGAGCAGTTATTAATATAAAAAAACTTCAAGATTTTACGTCAAATTTTCCAATTTCTCTATATTTCATGTGCGCTAACACGAGTCATAGATAGCTCTTGGGTTAGAATCTTTTGAACTGAGGAATATTTGAGTCCAGACATAATACAAAGTTCAGTAATAGTGTGTCTACCATCCATAGATATTATATCTTCAATAAGTTTGATGTTTTCTGGAATCACGGTATCAGCTTTGCGACCACATCTGGGAGCATCAAAAACAGTGTGGTTTCCATTATCTTTAAATGTAGAATACCACCTGTAAACAGTTGACCGCTTCACATTTTCCTGCCCATACACCTCATGTAGGCCCCTTAAGGTGTCTAGTGCTGGAATACCTCTGATTGCATTGTATTTTATAACAGATCTTATGTTAACATTGAGTTCTTTGGAATTCATCCCTATTTTAGCCAATTTTGCTCCACCCTAAAGTACTGCAAAATGGCCGTGTCTCTGATGTCACAGCCATGTGTGACATCATGTACTAGAGATGACACCATAATTGGTTGTGTTGTCATAACAACCACCTCAGGGCACTGTGTAAACAAAATTTGAAAAGAAACTGTCATTTTGTAAAAAATTACATAGTAAAAAGTGCCCTTGTTTCTGGTAATTTTTTAGCTGCTCCACCAACCCCTAGCAACCGTTGCCATGGTAACCGCTGTTGCTAGGTATCTATGAAAATAAATTAATGAGTGTGTTCATTCAATACCCTATTCCCAAGGGCAAATACCTACCAAATTTTATTGCAATTGAATGAATATAAGATGCTGCCTCAAAAAAGTCTCACTAATTAATGATACCCCCTCGTACAAGGCATTTTAATAAGTTTAGACTTAAAAAGTGTTTGATATGCTAAATTGGGATTTCATGTTTAAAGTCTTGGAAAAAATGAATTTTGGGGAAAATTTTCGAAAATGGGTGAAAATTATGTATACAAATCCTAAATTAAAAATGAAAAATAATGGGTATTGTTCAAGAGAAGTTAAAATTGAACGAGGTATCCCACAAGGATGTCCATTATCTGCACTATTATTCATATGCTGCACAGAAATAATGTCAAATAACATATTAGAAAAAATGCTAAAATAGAAGGAATAACTATAAACAATAATGAAATTAAAATACTACAACATGCGCATGATACAACAATTATGTTAAGACAAAAAGACAAAAAGACTCAATAATATATTTTCTCGAAGAAATAAAAACAAATTCTCAAAATTAAGTGGCTTAAAGTTAAACTTAGATAAAACACATGGTATATGGCTTGGAAATCAGAACAATGAACCAGATTTATACAAGAATATAAAATTTACAAAGGAACAAATTTAATTCCTCGGAGTTTATATTGGAATGACCTTAAAAAGTGTGAAGAATTGAATTTGGACTAAAAAATGTTAGAATTCGAATAATTATTTGAATCATGGAAGAAAAAAACTGGCCTATTTTGGAAAAGTTCAAGTGATTAATAGTTAAGGGATTTCAAAACTAGTTTATAATTTTTCAGTACCAAATGTGCCTGATTATGTTATAAAGAAAGTTAATAAAATAATTTTTGATTTCTTGTGGAAAAGAGATAGATTAAAAAGAAATACAGAGGAAAAGTTGAAAATGGGGGTCTAGGGTTAGTAGATCTAGAATTGAAATAGCTTCAATCAAAGGAAGTTGGGTAAAACGAATCTTTTCTGAAGATAATACTTGAAAAATATACCAATACATTATATTAAAAAATGTGGATGTGGATTTGAGGTAAAATATTTCATTAAAACTACATTTAAACAAGAAATAAAGATAAAGATAAATATGCCTAAATTCTATTAAGATATTTTTAGTGCATTCAATAGATGTAAAATTGACAAATTAAACAACAAAAATCTTTTTGGTGAAATCTTTTGGCTAAATCAAAAATTAGTGAGCAACAAGGGAAACGTTTTTTACAGTCATAATTGGATAAAAAGTGGTTTTTTATATAAAGGATTTTTATCTGAATAAATTGATAAAGAAATATAATTGGATGATCGAATATATACGAATAAAAGATTATTCAAATAAACTCATTCAAAATTTGGATAAAAAAAACAGAAAAACATACAAATATAAAAGCAAAAAACAATTACCTTATGAAAGATGGTAAATGGATACATACAGCACATCAATGCTAAACGATTGTATAATATTTTACTAGAAAGTAAACATGAAAGAAGCATTATGGAAAGTAATTGGCCAACACCAAGATGTAAAAATTTCTATGTGAAAGTCTATGATTCGAAAATTAAAAATATGAGACATAAAAACATGCAGATTTTACAAAATATTTGGGGAAAAATTAGAAATATCTTAAGATGTGATATCAAATGGAAACATAAATTTATTTTAGGGTTCTATATGTTGGAAGGTAATGTCTCTCAGTCAAGAAATATAATTCTCACAATAGTGGGTTACACAATTTATTTCAATTGGGTTAAGAACTCAAATAATATGGACATATACAAAAATATAAAATTTGAAAACAGTGTAATCAACCGACTACAATATTCTTTTGTGGTATTCCATGTCAACAAAAAGGATTAGCACTTTAATATGATTTTTTGGTTTAAACAAATCATGTAAAAATATTAAAATGTCTAGCTTTCCTTGAGAAGCTTTCATGCAAACCTTTTTGAACGACCCTAATAAATAGCCTAATATCAAAGTAAAACAAACTCACCAGCCACCAGTGATAGCAAAACGATTCCCAGAGTTGTCACAAACATTTTCATTCTCTCTCTGCTCCGATGTGTTGTCCCGCTGGTTTGGAACTGAGTGTGAGACAGAGCTTAAGTCTTTATATATGTCTACAGTCGTGACAGATGATAAATATGTTATTAATTGAGTCGTACCAAGATCAAATCTTCATTTCATTTTCAAGAGTAAAATTACAATAAAACCTTATCTGGCTGATGACCTTTATTAGACAGGTGAAAATATGAAATTAGAATTTATTTATTTAATAGACTTTGTCTGAAGCAGTTAGCAAATGATGTGGAACAGACAAAATAAGTAAAATATTCTGACAAAAATAAGCAATAATATAAGCACCTGACTGGTCATAAAATTAATTAACTCAAGATTTTTATCAGAATAAGCATATGAATATTTCTAATTTTGAAACCACCGTTTATATTTCAATGTCGAAACGAGATAAATTTGAAATGACTCAGTCTCTTTAATTAATTGGCGAAATCTGTTGCACTAACTTCCCTGGTCTTTTCAGCAGAAGGTGCAATTTGCTCATCTGAACCCCTCTCTACCAATGTTTTCTCTCATATGGAGCAAGCTAGTTTTGTTTTCATCATTAGCCTGTGTAGCTTGAGTAACGATAACTCTACCATATCCAGAGTTTAGATCATCCAAGGTGTTGTAATCCGGTTGAAAGTGTATGTCTAATCTATTCTAGGTCCCGTAGTCAACAAGAGACGTCAATTCCCACATGACGTTTTAAGTATTGGACTTTAAAACTAGGAGACCGTAAAAACGTTCGCACCGTACAGTAGTGGAACGACACGAATCAGTCCAAGTGTGGTTGACTTGCAGCCGTCGGGACTCGAAAAGCATGCCATTTGCGGTGACTCAGAAAAGGCGTATGTTCTTTGTACTAATTTTCTTCGGCCCCATGACTTAACATAGGATATAAGAGACCTTCGGCTGGGGCGTTCATGCATATAGCATTCCCGTGGGCATTTTTGCCCCAATCAGAAAACTATCATAATGACTGTTACATATAATATTATGTAATCAAATAACATTTTGAATTTGATGCCCACATGTACATATATCTTATTTCCCTTTTTTTGTAATATAAATCTATGACATATCTAGTACTCCTAATGCTTCATTAGGACATTTATTAAACGATGCAATATTTAAGCTGTAAACTTTTGGCACTCTCCCGAGTGACAAGGCTCTATGCAGGCCCGTAGCCAGGGGGGGGGGGGGGGGGTTCGCAGGGTTCGGGCGAACCCCCCCTGGCCAAAAATTCTTTCAAAATCATGCAGTTTTTCACCATTTTGAGCACTTCTCAAGTGATTTTAGCCATATTTGGGGCAAAATTGTCAAATGTGAACCCCCCCTGGAAATTTTTGAAAACTGAACCCCCCCTTTGCAAATCCTGGCTACGGGCCTGCTATGGATACTGTTTCACAAACTAGTAGGTCTCACAGTTATTCAGCATACAACCTAGATAAGATTCCATTTAAAAGATAGATTTTCAACTTATTTTCATTCTCATTATTAAAACCACATATATATTTTATAGTATACTCGCCCATTTTCCCCAGCCACCACCCGACCAATCTCATTTGTCATGTATTGCTATACTTATAATCATGTACATACAGTACCTCAACCAATGTGCGGACATTTTTGCCCCAACCAAAAAATACATAATGTCTGTTATGTAATATTATGTAATCAAATAAAACTTTAATTTTCATGCCAAAATCTATGACATACAGGATATTAGCGTTTTTTTAATTTCAAAACGCGAAAACTTCTGAGCCGGACACCATATCTCAAAAATGGGTCAAAATACTATCTGACGGTAAAGGACTAAATTATTAACTAACATTTTCTTGGCTATATGTACACCTGCAAAGATACGGAAAAACTATTATGACCCAGATTTTGACGTAGGACTTTTAGTTTCGACCCTTTTAGCAAAGTAGCTTTAAGAGGTCCTCTTCTATTGAAGGCTTACATTACGTTTAGCTGCATCCAGTTTGTATTTCGTATTTTTACAATTCAATTTTCTAAGGCCACAACACCTTCTAGAGAAATGATTCAACACAGAATGCATTGTGTCCAGGGCTTAGGGGCAAATACAATAATCGATTTCGCCAATTTGACTTCGTTGATATCAATACACATGGCGCAGGATGCGGTAGAATAGCAGAATTCATGGAATTTAAAAAATATCAATGATCATAAATTTGCCCTTATACCCTTTTTACCTGGATGTGTAAACTTTAAAACCTAAAAAGGTTGATGATTTATATTTAACCCTGAATTGATGGTGCCCCCATACCCAAAACCAACGCTTTTCCCCAACCCCAAACAATAATTTTGAGAGAAGGGCAACCCATTTGCATAGTGACTACAACAATTGAAGACCAAGCGACAAATAAGAGCAATGACCAAGTCAGATTGGCATCCAATACCAAATTGATTACCCCGTGGTTACCCCACCAAAAACGTTGATACCTTCACGCAGCTTACTAACAGAGCCAATCCGATTGACTGTTTTGTCCTTTTTAGATACTTTGCAATTGGGAGTCCCTTTGTTATTTCATATCAAACAATGCATGCTCGTATTATTTTGATTAAGGACATTTATTTAGTCACTTAAGACACGGCACAAAGTACAAACGTATACATGTTTACCGAAGTAATACTGCAAAATATATATGAAAGTATAAAATTATAATACAATAATCAAAGTTCATGCAATGTTCATATAGCAAAATTATACAGGGTGGTCCTAAAAAAATTGGAACATTTGTTAATTGAACGCAAAACCTTTATTTTTCTTCTAAAATGTACCCCTCTTCTCCTGACTTACAAGTTGAAGCCTGGGGCTCAGATTTGTAAATATTCAATTAGTTTGCTGTTCGTTTGTTTTGTCCAAGCCATCTCAATTAAAAATTTCAGCTTGATCAAACTTCCTATTTGTTTGCCTTGGAAGATCAAATCTAGTAACAAATTTAACATTTTTTTTACCCAAATTCATTAGTATCAAGCATATTTTGATGGCTATTGTTGGGTGTATTACTGATTGAATATTCTCCAGAAAGAGGCCAGGGCAGTCTGATTTGACTGGTAAATGAAGCCCCCTCCCCTTAATTGTTCTGATATGAATGATATCCATTGGATATATCAATATGTCTATCAATATCATAGAGAGAACACAAATGGTATATTATATATATATTATACACTGTATGTGTGCTTAGCATTGGTTTTTAATGTGAATAACTGGCCATGGTCAGTTTTGCCTTTACTGAAAAGTGGGAACAATCTTTTGTCACTTGAGTAGCTGTGAAGGTTATGCAATCGCTCACCTCTGACATGTTCCTTTTTCCCTACTCTTAAATGAAAATGATCATTTTGGGTATTGTTTATTTAAGTTTAAGTTAACACAATATTTTTCTGGCAAACCCCAGATGTAAATACTCTTTGTCAACTGAATATAATTTTATAAAATATTTACAGCAATTAACATGTGCATTAAAGCTTTGAAATAAATAATACTTGAAAAAGTAGCCGCGGAATTGACAAGTGTATATTTAAGAAAAGGGGTCCTATCAAACATTGACTATTTTAATGCATTAACTTTGTGGTTTTCACATATAAACTTTACATCAGATAAATAAGTGATTGAACTATGCTCAGTAAAAGTTTGGTACATTTCAGAAGAAAAATAATGGTTTTGCGTTCAATTAACAAATGTTTCAATTTTTTTGGACCACCCTGTATATATTCAGGCTAATATAAAAACGTTTTCAGCACTAGGGGTGCATTCTTGTACATTTTCTCTCGTCATCAAACGTTCCTAAGTCAATTGTCTGTTACGTGAATTCCATAAAGTTCATTGCTGTATGATTAAATCGTTTTCAAATGACTAAAACATTAAAACTGAAATGTATTGTCACTTGTGATCGATTAAAGTAGACTGTTTATATTCATCGTCGTGTCGAATATAAAAAGATACAATGACACAAGCACGTGTAACGATAGCACCAATAGGTGAATCCTCATTAACATTGCACAAAGGTAAAGATAGTTGTTTAATGTTTATACACAGTCCACATAGCTTGTGTGAATGTGTCAACGTAATGTCACAAGTTTGTATATTCAGATTCTACAAGCGACTCATCTTGACTGATAATTTAACTCATTTATGGCGAAAAGGTGAGACAGAATCGTGCCCTGCATCCATTATCGACCCACATAGTTCGGTTGGCTGACCAAGTCATTCCCCAAGTATCATCCAAAGTACATGCTGCCCTGAAAAACAAGAATTTAACATGATTAAAAGTGACTCAATAATAAGTCAAAATTGTAGGATTTATCATTTCAAGTGATCGAAATGCAATTGTATTTTGGGATCAAATGTAACCAATCAGATGTGAGGACCATTGCTATCTGTGTTGTATATTCAACGTTAATGTATGACAAACATCCATCAAAGGAACGACGTTTTCCTTATTTCTCTTAATTTATTTTAAACATATGACTTATTTGCAGTTGTTTCAATATACAATCATAACAATATACCTCTGGAAAGTTTATGATTTTACTAGGGTGTAATTTAATTACTTAAACACGTGACTCTGAACGTCCATACCACAAACTTACTTTGATATCTGCCTGCTCAAAGTTGGTACTCCAAGAGTCCCATCACGTATATATGCTGGGGCAGAATCCATTGGTGTACACTCGGCTCTACGAAATCTTCTGCTTGAGCACACAAAGCAAAAATCACCTGAAGAGGAATAAGGTGTATATAATAGTTGAGGTCAGTGTGTAAAGATGTATCTCTGTTTACGTAGCAATAGTAGCATAGAAAGGGAAATAGTACATTTTATTGGTGAAGTTTCAGAATCTTCCTATTGATAAGTAAATAAATCTTGTATTTTGAACAACATTTATCGTTTATTATTGTTTGGAGCCGCAATACTGTTTGTATGTGGGAAATTTTATTTAAGCATTTCTTTAAGAATATGTTTAGTTAAAGGCACATTGTAATATACAGCCGACAAAATGGTTCAACATTTTCTTTCAGGCTCTAGAGTTCTCTGATGATTCTATGCATGCAGATCCATTCGGAGTCGTCTATTGAACCTTGAAAAGCCATATTTAGACTTAAGGATTGAAAGGTGTTCACGACAACTTTCAGCTGATCTTTATTACCATAGACCGGAAGTGAATTTTCGAGTTGAGTAAATGGTGGTAATGTTGTTTTTATGAAGCGGGAAAAACAAAACATTACAAATAGAAATCATAGTAAGCATTTGAAAATCATTAAGAAGCATTTAAAATCGAGTCTACTGCAAAATTTGAAATAATTAAAATATTCCACACGGACCTCAGAGAAAACACTTCCAGTTTTAAAATCCATGATGTTATTGAATCATATTATGCAAAATATAATTAATTGTTTTGAAACGAGTACTGACATTTTACAAACACTGTTATTACAACCTACCAAGTTCACACTGCTTTCCCCAAGAACCAGGAGGGCAAAGACATCTATAGTTATCACCGAATGTGTTCATGCAAATTGAACCTTGTCCAAGGCAAGGGTCAGAGGCGCAGGCATCACCTACAATTAACAAATGATTTATATTCAATTGAATGTTAGACTCTAATACTCTGATCCGTGTACACGTAGGCATAATGAAGTAAAACGCGACATAGGGAGCATTGGTCAACGTGGTTACAAAGCAATAAAACAACATATTCACTGAGACAAGCTTTTTTAAAATTCTATTTTTGTGTGACCACTTTCATGCCAAGACTGACCGTTCATGATCGATGATGCCTCGATAAAATCGTGCACATTTTAATCCTTGAGGATGTTAATTCTGAATACATTGACAAAGAAAATCTCAAATAAATGAAGCTTGCCTTGAAATTAACGAAACACTTACAATAATTTTATTTTCTTACTTCACATTATTCCTTATAAATTACACTTCAACTTAAACATGAATAAAAAATCTGCATTATTCAGTAGTAAAGCATAGATTATATAAAAGCTTACTATTTACTGTCCACTGACATCCGCAGCTGGAAACACCAACGACATCTATAAAGCAAAATGTAACAACACTTGCATTATTAAGGATAAAAAAGTCGTAATAGTGGGTGAATGATACGATAAATTGTTTGTACCTCACCTTGCGTTGATTTGAATTTCTTTATATTCGAAAAAAGCATAAACGGGAACTCGCATCCAAACATATCAAGTTTCCAAAATGATCCCCGATACATTTACAAGTTTAACAAATTGTTTTAACTCAGCTTACATTCGCGAATGCAAATAGTGGCTACCGGATTAACCTACTATTTCATGATAAACTCATTCAAATATGAATGGAATAGTGGCAGGTACTAAACATATTTAAATGAGTTGCCAATAAAATAGTACGTTCGTAATCCGGTAGCCGACAGGCGTTAGTTTCATTCGCGAATACAAGGTCAGTATCTCACCTCGTCTCTTATTTAAGAGTATCCATCTAATTATCAGAATAAAAGAGAGAAGAGTCTAATGCTATGGCTTCACTATGAGAATAGTAATTCAAAAGTCAAATGGCTATACCTTCAGCACACTGTGGTCCTTGCTTGTGTGGAGGGCATATGCAGCTAAGTCCATTATTCCAAGGAATAGCTATTCCTTCATTGCAAGTTTCTGAAGCAGGAGCAACATACATTGACGTATTTACAGCTCATTTAAACAAGTCTTTTAAAAACTGTGTAGTGATCATTTCTAGTTTATAGTAAATGACTCAATTTATGTTAGTTTGTTTGAACTGTTTTTATTTAAAAATCATTTTCAATCTTTATCTAACTTGAACATGCTTATGCATAAGGGCCAAGGGCATTTAATTAAGCCAAGTCTAAATAATTTGTTAGTCATTTAATCACGCGGTCCTAACTTCGACCGTTTTAATGAAATTATTCTCTTAAACAGAGTCCCTACTTCCAGTGGCATTTTGGTCCCCAGCTATAAGAAGGCCTTCTGACAGGTAGCGACCAAAACGCTGCTAAAACGAGGGACTCTTTAAATAAAGTAATGCACCGACAGAAAGGTAATTTTGTTCTGCATTTAATGGTATAAGTTTGAAGAAAAACAGTGCAGTATGAGACTCGCAATCCTTGATTTTCAAACATCCGGTAGGTCAAAAATTCAAATTAACGGTCGAAGTTAGGACCGCGTGTTAATAGATGAGATTGTTGTTTGAATCTTAGGACAGGGGCATAAGTAAAGCTTTTTATACATGAAGTACATTGTAAATGTAGTGAAGCACAAAAGATCATCGAGCTCTTCACACATAGAAAACATATAGCTAAAGGTTTAAAAAGGCAAAATCTTGGTCTCAACCAGGCCTTCTTAATTTCGTACCAGGGCAGTCTCCGTCATTACATGACTTTGTGCCTGTCAGATCACTTGGATTGCATTCGCTTCCTCCATTAGCTGGAGCTGGATTGTCACATACTCTTGTACGAGTTTGGTCTCCATCTCCGCATGTTGTAGAACACGCTCCCCATGCTGACCAGGTACCAGGACCTCCGTTAACTAAAAAAATGAGCAATACTTTCCAATAAATAACAATGTCCTGTCTATCATACTTAAATGAGCCTAATGTAGTAAATTGAACCTTTGTACAGCATCCACTACTAAAATGATTTTGTGATCATTGACCTTCCCACTATGTAGTTGTTAAGAATCAAGCAATGCCAAGTTCATACCTGGACATTCCCCGTCATTACACGACTGTGTGTCTGTCAAATCACTTGGATTGCATTCGCTTCCTCCATTAGCTGGGGCTGGGTTGTCACATGCTCTTGTACGAGTTTGGTCTCCATCTCCACATGTTGTAGAACACGCTCCCCATGCTGACCAGGTACCAGGACCGCCGTTAACTGAAATATAAAAAACACATTGCATATGGACATTTAATTTTTTCAATTAATCATAGTTCAATAACGAAAGTGTTTTGAGTTGTACTGTTGTACAACATACAGTTCAAATATGAATTTGCGTTCATTGACCATCACACTGTATAGTTGTTTAGAATCTAGTAATATCAAGTTCGTATAGTACCTGGGCATTCCCCATCATTACATGACTGTGTTTCTGTAAGATCACTTGGATTGCATTCGCTTCCTCCATTTGCTGGGGCTGGGTTGTCACATGCTCTTGTACGAGTTTGGTCTCCATCTCCGCATGTTGTAGAACACACTCCCCATGCTGACCACGTACCAGGACCTCCGTTAACTAAAATAAAATATAATAAATAATAACTTACCGATTCTATTTTATCATGACCTAAATGTATTGTGTCGAACCTTTATACTACACCCAGTACCAAAATGAATTTGTGTTCCTTGACATTTCTTTTTGTGTAGAATCTAGCAATGCAAAGTTCACACCTGGACATTCCCCGTCATTACATGACTGTGTTTCTGTCAGATCACTTGGATTGCATTCGCTTCCTCCATTAGCTGGAGCTGGGTTGTCACATGCTCTTGTACGAGTTTGGTCTCCATCTCCGCATGTTGTAGAACACGCCCCCCATGCTGACCAGGTACCAGGACCTCCGTTAACTGAAACATACGTTTAGCTGATCAGTTCAAATACAATTTGCCAATGTTACAGTTAAATAACGAACATAGATTAGCTTGGTTTTCATGGATGAAACACTCATTTCTTCACCAAGTAGCAGATATGTTCCGAAATAACAAAATTAATATAACTAAAGTTTAAACATTCTAATAATGTCATCATAATACCTGGTATCTGCGTAGCTGGTGGTTGACTTTCGAGGGTAGTGGTTGGGAGAATAGTAGTGGTTGGTAACGTCGTCGTTTCCAATAGGGTTGTAGTTGGTATAAGAGTGGTTGTTGGTAGGATTGTTGTTTCCAATAGGGTAGTAGTTGGTATAAGAGTGGTTGTTGGTAGTACTGTTGTTTCCAGTAGGGTAGTAGTTGGTATTAGAGTGGTTGTTGGTAGTACTGTTGTTTCCAGTAGGGTAGTAGTTGGTATTAGAGTGGTTGTTGGTAGGATTGTTGTTTCCAGTAGGGTAGTAGTTGGTATTAGAGTGGTTGTTGGTAGGATCGTTGTTTCCAATAATATGGTAGTTTCCGGTTCACTTGCACGAGTGAGTACTGAAAAAACATATTGAAATTACTCATTTGACCATATAGCATATGTTCTTGATATACCTTAGACAATGGAATGGAAGTAAAGTGTGCTTACTCGCAGGAAGCAATATATAGATCTCTTGGAAAGCATACAATGTAGAATACATTCAAGGAGTTTCAATAAGGCAATATATGCGTCTGACTCCACATGTGGAAAAACTAATAAAGCTATTGAAGTACATTTTAAACGATGACCTGTGTTGAATCTAAATAGAAATATATGCATTGTAGCAAAGTGGTTTGTTGTTTTACCATGCTGTCTAATTAGAAACTTTACCTCTTCACTGGGGCGCAACTAAGAGCGAAGACAATATGGCCGGACCGGAAGCAGAATTTTGTGATATATCTTGTTTTCTCAATTAAATCGCTCTAATCACCCAAAATATTATCTAAATATTTGGCACCTATTAAATTGCTCTTATCCCCCCAAATATCATTTAAATGTTTGGCACCTAGGAAGTACGTAGATTAACGTTTGGAAATGTGATTTCACCTCAGACATACACAGCATAATTGTTTAAATATTTTCAAATTAATTTTCTTTTAGAAACGAAGACGCACATCGGTTTCTGAAGCATGAAACGAAGACAGCATAATAACCACTATGTTTATATAAACATTAAAACCACTTGTCTTCGTTTCAAGTCATTCGTTTTCCTAAGCGAAGAAATTGATTTGAAAATATCTAAACAAATACGCTTTGTATCTCTGAGATAAAATCATATTCTAAAATCGGAATTTACGCACTCTATATACTTACCAAACATCCGGTAGAAATTTGGAGAATAAAAGCCGTTGAATCAAAACAAAAACTATTTTACTAATTTTACTTCCGGAAGTCCGAGCATTTTGAAACGAAGACGAATATTTTTTCGTCTCCAGTTAATCCAAAGTGCTTTTTATTTTATATTGCCCAACAAAATAATGCCTTTTGTTTTAAATACGCAGATCTAGATATAACTTACCTGTCACACAAGTGAACAGCACTTTCACCAGCCAAATGTTTAATTGCATTGTTATCTTCTGAATTGCCGCCGATCAGTAAAATACTGAGATTTATGTATATCTGTCTTTTATATGAATTCACTGGTAACATGATAGGGGTGTAATTAGCTAATTTAAATTAAACGACTACTTCTTTAAATTAAGATTTGATTATCATTGTTATTTAAAGCCTACTTTGTAATGCGATGATAGGGTTATTAGGTAATTTAGTGTGTCTCCCGGTGACCTTAGCAGCGGACTAGAGAGTATTGATTGTACAAGTAGAGCAGGTGAATGTAAACGCTTATTAAACAGAATGCATATCGAACTTATGGAAAAATCATATAACAACATTTTTATATGTCTCCGGTAAATTGTAAAAAGCAAAATTACAGAACTTCAAATATGATTTTATTATGTACGATTCGATTCGTTGTATAAAAATATGTACAGAAAAAGCAGATCAGTTTAATTTCACATTATCATGGTTGTATTTTAAAATGAATAGACGAGCCTGCTGATCGGGCAAATGGGACGGAGGGGAGTATGTGATTTCTGCTAGAAAATTCAACAAACCTTGAAGATTTATTTTTTCAAGAGAAAGTTTACTTTTGAATTGCGAAATGGACACTCGTTTATCGTCCGCAACTTGTCCAAACATACTTTTTCAAGCTGATTGCTCATTTGGACTTTTCACTGGAGTAATATTAAAATTACTAAAACACAAATTAGTCCATGGTATGAAATCTTTAGGACGTCTAATAAAGGAACTGGTAGCACACTATAGGGCAGCGATATTTGACCTAACATTAATACCTACATATGTTCCCTAATAATTTTTATTATAACCGTTTAATATACTTCCGGCTTTAAGGCTGAATTATGCCTGCCATTAACAGAGGTCAAAAAATTACCCAAAAATAAAATTCCAATTTCTCACAATTTGGAGTACACAATGCAACAGAAAATAAAGCAAAAGGATTTTGAATATATGATTTAGGTTTCTAAGCTATAAGTTTGAGGTCATTTTTCTTATCAATACCCAAAAATATGTAATCAGTGTATCGACATTTTGTATTGTTTCTCAGGTATTAATAAGATAAATGCTACAAATGAATCAATTTTATATTAGAATGACAAATGCTTAAATTATGCTAGATTTTCACGAAATACGTTTTGAGATATGGACTTTTATTCAGCGGTGAACATTATCAATAAAGGAGGACCTATTGCTCTTCATTGACTAATTGGGACTACAGCTAAAATTCTATTTCTCGTAGTTGAATATAGCTCAGTTGCTTATAAAACAACCATTAAGACGTTTTTATTCAGAAAAATTGTTGCGATTATATGGAAAAAATGCTGGTAATGAAATGTTTTTCAATAGTAAGAAAACTAATATGTTCCCAATCATAAATTACCTAAATATTCCAAACAATTTTGTTGAATCTGCTTGGCTCATTTTTGAAAAATCAAATCTGAAAATATACACTTGCGTAATTACTAATTAAAAACCGACATCTACAGTAAAATTATAGTATATTTCTACATTATGATAATCTATTTTGTCTTATAAAATGTATAAAAGTTCGAATCAAAATATTTACGATTTTTGACCCCTTGTGATGTTAGAAATTTTTCGACTCGAAAGCCGGAAGTTTTTTCAGCAAATGGTATTTTAAAAGAATCAAGACATATGCACCTCCATAAATATTGCTTCAAATATTGCTGCGCTATAGTGTGCTATGGATCCTTCATATTCGGAAGTCATACCATGGACTATTTAGTCTCTCTATTCATAACAAATATTTATCGGCAGAACACTTTCATAAAAACTTTTTGAGAGATAAATCTAGAATTCTAAAATAGAGTAACATTAAAAGTATAATCAGATCTAGGGAACAACCTTGAAAAATCATTTTTAGAATATTTGGGTTCATATGCATTCTGACCTACTAGGGCTTTGTATGATCTTGATGTTTCATTTGTTTGATTGTTTGCGTGAAGATATTAGAATTTATATAATCAGAAGTTTGCAAACTAAATCAAAAGTTTGTATTTAGTACTAATGAGTATAAATCAAAGCATTTCGCTACGGGAAGTGTGCATTAAACAGTCAATGCAAGCCAATCTTCAATCGCATCTGCCTCGTCTAATGAAATATGAACTGATCGGATTAATCAAACAATAACCAATGTAAATTATATTAAAGTAATCATATTTTTCTCTTTTACCGCATTTTGTCCATATCATTCAAGAATGCGTCATTTATATTCATTTATTTCAAAACATTCACAGTGCTAATGAATCAAAGAAGTCTGGTAGTCTGACAATGTCTGGTAGAGCCCCCTTTTCTTAAAGGCAGAATCAGATCTATAGGGGGTGATAAAATTACAAGCAACTTGTATAATTGACCTACCAATATATTCCTTACAATCTCAAATGCAATATCTCCCAAAATATTCACAATATCTTATAAATTGGTAAAGTTATTCATGATTCAAAGTGCAAAAATGGCTGAAGATATTCATAATAATTTTAGTTTTTTACAATAATTATCAATTTTCTACCAATTACTTAATTCTCTTTTCAGTGCTCACTCATGCGATTGAACCAGAAACTACCATATTATTGGAAACAACGATCCTACCAACAACCACTCTAATACCAACTACTACCCTACTGGAAACAACAATCCTACCAACAACCACTCTAATACCAACTACTACCCTACTGGAAACAACAATCCTACCAACAACCACTCTAATACCAACTACTACCCTACTGGAAACAACAGTACTACCAACAACCACTCTTATACCAACTACTTCCCTACTGGAGACAACAATCCTACCAACAACCACTCTAATACCAACTACTACCCTACTGGAAACAACAGTACTACCAACAACCACTCTTATACCAACTACTACCCTATTGGAAACAACAATCATACCAACAACCACTCTAATACCAACTACTTCCCTACTGGAGACAACAATCCTACCAACAACCACTCTAATACCAACTACTACCCTACTGGAAACAACAGTACTACCAACAACCACTCTTATACCAACTACAACCCTATTGGAAACGACGACGTTACCAACCACTACTATTCTCCCAACCACTACCCTCGAAAGTCAACCACCAGCTACGCAGATACCAGGTATGTAATTGATGACATTATTAGCATGTTTATAGTTCAGTAATCTTTTTTTACTTCTGAATATATTGGCTACTTGATAGTGAAAAGGTTTTAGCCATGAAAACTTAGCTAGTCATACCTACATTATGCTACAAACACTTTCGACGGAATTGCGTTTTGCAAAGGAAATATCACATGATTGTTCAACTCAGTCAAATCAAGTTACTTCCAAACATCTTCATTACGTTTTCTCGAACACTTTTCCTTCTATTTCCATATAACTTTATTCATTAAGAAAATGAATTCGATTTTTAAACTGAACCCTGTTTTAGTAAATGGAGCCCCTGGTACTTGGTCAGCATGGGGAGCGTGTTCTACAACATGTGGAGATGGAGACCAAACTCGTACAAGAGCATGTGACAACCCAGCCCCGGCTAATGGAGGAAGCGAATGTAATCCAAGTGATCTTACAGACACACAGTCGTGTAATGATGGGGAATGCCCTGGTATGAAATTGACATTCCTAGATTCTAAATGGTCAATCATCACAAAATCCTTTTAGTACTGGCTGTTGTACAAAGGCTCAATTAAATACATTAATGTCCTTGAAGTATAGAATTAGGACATTGTTATTTATAATATAAACAATTGGGAAAGTACTCAGGCCCATAGCCAGGATTTGCCAAGGGGGGGGGGGGGGGGGGGGGGGGGGGGTTCAGTTTTCAAAAATTTCCAGGGGGGGGTTCACATTTGACAATTTTAGCCCAAATATGGCTAAAATCACTTGAAAAGTGCTCAAAATGGTGAAAAACTGCATGATTTTGAAAGAATTTTTGGCCAGGGGGGGGGGGGGGGGTTCGCCCGAACCCTGCGAACCCCCCCTGGCTACGGGCCTGGTACTATACATTATTTTTCAATTTAGTTAACGGAGGTCTTGGAACCTGGTCTGCATGGGGAGCGTGTTCTACAACATGTGGAGATGGAGACCAAACTCGTACAAGAGCATGTGACAACCCAGCCCCAGCTAATGGAGGAAGCGAATGCAATCCAAGTGATTTGACAGACACACAGTCGTGTAATGACGGGGAATGCCCTGGTATGAAATTGACATTCCTAGATTCTAAATGGTCAATCATCACAAAATCCTTTTAGTACTGGCTGTTGTACAAAGGCTCAATTAAATACATTAGGGTCCTTGAAGTATAGAATTAGGACATTGTTAATAAACAATTGGGAAAGTACTATACATTATTTTTCAATTTAGTTAACGGAGGTCTTGGAACCTGGTCTGCATGGGGAGCGTGTTCTACAACATGCGGAGATGGAGACCAAACTCGTACAAGAGCATGTGACAACCCAGCCCCAGCTAATGGAGGAAGCGAATGCAATCCAAGTGATTTGACAGAAACACAGTCATGTAATGACGGGGAATGCCCAGGTATGAACTTGCTGGCATTGCTTGATTCTAAACAACTACATAGTGCGAAGGTCATTCAAGGATCACAAAATCATTTTAGTACTGGATGTTGTACAAAGGTTCAATTTACTACATTAGGCTCATTTAAGTATGATAGACAGGACATTGTTATTTAATATTTCAAGAATTGGGAAAGTATTTTTCATTTTTTTAGTTAACGGAGGTCCCGGTACCTGGTCAGCATGGGGAGCATGTTCTACAACATGTGGAGATGGAGACCAAACTCGTACAAGAGCATGTGACAACCCAGCTCCAGCTAATGGAGGAAGCGAATGTAGTCCAAGTGATCTGACAGCTACACAGTCTTGCAATGATGGGGATTGCCCCGGTATAGGACATATTATTGCTACTAAATTACATTACAAATTAGAAAAGATTATTTAACCTTAGATTGATATTGAATGGCATTTCTTGGCTTTTTACTTAACTTACACGTGAGTTGATGTTTACTCTCTCATTCCAGTAACTTGCAATGAAGGTGTAAGTATCCCATGGAACGATGGACTCAGCTGTATCTGTCCCCCACACAAAACTGGCCTACAATGCGAAGAAGGTAAGATGACAATTGCTATTGGGAGAACGCATCCCACATTAATGTTATGCAGTAAACATAGATTAGACATACCCAATTTATAAGCTGGCATTCGTGAATTCAAGCCCTAGTCGTCGGTGTAACCTACTTCTAGTATTTAATGGCCAACTCATTTAAGTATGAATGGAATAGTCGTAAGTACTATTCATATATAAATGAGTTAGCCATAAACTAGTAGGTTCAACCGCCAGTCGGTAATTGATTACGCAAATGCTACACAAGCAGGCCCGTAGCCAGGGGGGTTCGGGCGAACCCCCCCCCTGGCCAAAATTTCTTTCAAAATCATGCAGTTTTTCACCATTCTGACTACTTTTTGAGTGATTTTTGGCCATATTTGCCAAAGTGAACCCCCCCTAGAATGTTTTAGAAAAACGAACCCCCCCTTGGAAAATTCTGGCTACGGGCCTGACAAGTTATATAAAATACGAGGTGCTAAACGGAAATTTAATGTAATATTTGAAATATATAATTTTGTCTTGAGTAACAGTCACAGAAACGACAAGACGTTGTTTACAAATACGCAGTATTTTTTTTTACATTCATCTGGTTTGTCTGTCGGTTTAATTTCGAACCCAAAAATGTGCATCCTCACACTACTTAAGAGTATGTCTCTATAACATGCATTCCTTGTTTTATTTTTTCAGATGTTGTTGGAGCTCCAAGCTGCTCATGTTCATGGCCAGAAACCAGTAAGTCCTTATATAATATATTAACATAGCGTTTTAAATAACATATTCAAGGAAATAATATGTTCTTTTCAATTATAATTTTATCCACCCATATACCATATCAATTGGTGGATAAGAATCATGTCACTTATAAATAACATGGCATTCTTTATATATTTTCGAATGATCACATTATGAATGAACGCAGAGCTTTTGCGTCTCGAACTATCATACTTACATTATACGTGCTTTTCAAAGAAAAAACATGCAATTTATAATTACTTTAACTTCTGTTGTAAACTTCACAAAATGCAGATAGCGTTACTTTTTTATTCATGTTTCCAATTACTGAAGGGTGTGCGTTCTTCAATAAATCCCGTTATAACGTAAATCTGTGTTTACTTTAAAACTTTATACATTTCTTTTTATTGTAGATGATCCATGTGCTCAAAATCCATGCCTTGGTGACTCGATTTGTGTCAACACATTCGGTAATAATTATAGATGTCTCTGTCCAGCTGGCTCTTCTGGGGAACAATGCGAACAGGGTAGGTTGAAATAATTAGTAATATTATGTACGCAGTGACATGGCTATCGAGTTGAAGCTCAGCACATTTATTTTTCCTAAAATTGGCCTGTTTTTTGATGGGCAGTCACTGTCATGGTGTTCTGCCGCACTACTTAAAGAGGCAGTATCGCAGACAAGATTTGAAGCAATAATATGTTAGGAAAAAAGTCGAGGCGTGAATAGGTTACATCAACTTTTGACACAAGCTCTCTATTTATGATATGCTGTCTATCATGGATCCTTTACATTACTTAATCTTTTCAGGTACATTTTGCTTCCGGTGCTCCAGCAAAAGATATATCAAAAAGACGTGTGAACCCATGACTGGTGCCCCTGCCTATATACGCGATGGAACTCTTGGGGTACCAACATTGAATAGGCAGATATCAAGGTAAGTTTTCACATTGTTGTTTCAAAGAATTATTTGTAAACATGTATGCATTTTGTCGAAGTTTGAACTCATATCCATATCAAGTCATATCCCTGTTCTGTAGACAAAAGAGGATAGAGTTATTACTATGCTCACAATGTTATTACAATAAAGCAAGGCATATTTATGAAAATACAGAGGATGTGGGGTGTAAAGTTGCTGGTATATTGGCAAAAGAATATCGAACAAAAAAGTTAAATATGCATAGAATATTGTTTATTGTATCTTTTTTATTTCCCGTATCAGCGATACTGAGCAAAATACATAAAAGATCAGATCATAAACAAGGTGTATATCTTTTTAAAAAGCTGGACATTTTTTAAATGTTGTGAAAAATGTTGCAAACAATTTTGAAAAAATGAAAAAATGAAACTCTATTACGATATAAAGGTTGCTGAAATTTTACAAAAAATATAGCAGTTGATAGAATTGTAATCCATCTTTAATTCATTTTTCTCCAGAAAAACATGTACTGCTGACTTATGGGGTACAGATCTGTGGTCCTCATTACAACTATGGGTCGATGATGGATGCAGGGCCGAATTTTGCGTGACATATTCTCCAGCACCATAGAATGGATGGGTGTCCTACTGCCGTCGTTCCTATAGAACTATTTGAAATACTACTCCCTGTTTTGCGGAATAGACAAGACTCCTTACAACTCATCTATTAGATTCAAGTTTCATAAGAAACCGGCTAGGAGAATCACGTCAACTAAGATAAACTAGCTGTTTTCAAATAAGACAATGACTATTTAAATCTACGAATGCACATAATTAACAAAATAAACGTTTAGATTTGTGCGACTAGGTTTATTAGCAACAACAATGCAAACAATACAACTTCATACAGGTTTTTGATTTGACCGAAATGAAAATGTATTCATCTGTTTTTTTTATTTTGTTTTTTCTTAAAATTACATTTGTGCTTTTTGCTTCACTATTTCTTTCTTCTACTAACACGCCAGTAATATTATTACTTATTCCATAATACTACTGTTTTCCCAGGGAAATATGAAGGAATAAAAATCGTATTGAATCATATTACATGAAAAAATCGTATTGTCCCCGGGAAAAAATCGTATTGGAGCGTATTACATGGAAAAATCGTATTGTCCCCGGGTCAAAAATCGTATTGGAACGTATTAACCTATTTTTGGGTTTCCCGGTTATTTTTAACCTTGACTAATAGATAAAAGCATTATCCAAATGTAACATTTTAAGGAGGAATGTATTATGGAATAAATAGGTTATTTCTGGTCGGGATTGAATATGGGTTTTATTCCTCGGAAAATATGATATTGAACTTGGGAAATATGATATTGACACTCGGTCGCTGCGCTCCCTCGGTCAATATCATATTACCCTTCGGTCAATATCATATTGTCCCTCGGAATAAAACCCATATTCAATCCCTCCCAGTAAATAACCTATATATGTACATATAAGTGTGAACGATCAGATTGTAATATTGATCGAACCCATGGTGATTGTAGAAAACAAAAGATATCATCCATTTCTTGACTGTGTGTTATACTTATTCTTGAATACGATACATGTATTTATATCAAGCATTTATTTCATACTTTTATATGTCACTCTGTATTTGTAAATGTATATTTAATATACATATTGAAGATTTGATCTACAAAATATACTGTCTAAAACATGATAAATATGACTTTGTCTTATTATGATATTTTATTCATTTAAACATTTTTATTATAATGTTACTTGGGTATTAGGGAAAATCATAAATTGGCCTTATATCTAGAAAGGCGAACTTTATTTTCTTATTTTTGAACCCCTCTCACCCTACCCCAGTTGAACCCAACCTTTCCCCTAGACAACTCACAGCCCTGGACATTATCCTTTATTATAATTACGTATACATTACTTCGGATCATTTTATGAAAAATGTTAACTTTTTATCCTTCGGAAACGAAGATTATGTTTCACAGGAAGTTCGAAGGGCGATATTGTATAGCAAACCCTCTTGGGAAATGTTTGTACTTTCCTAACCCTACTATCACACCAAACTAGTTCTCACTACGTTCTCGAAAACGGGCTTCAACTTTGTACGAACGGACTGGACGTACTAAGAACTGTTTGGGGTCTATTTACAAACTTCATCGAACGTACTCGAACGGGTAAGTCCTCTAGAACTTAGAACATGCTCAAAATGTTCTCGTGGTCGATACGTTCTACAATTAGAACGAGTGACAACGTACTAACGACGAGCTGGACGTACTACGAACGGAACCGTCGTACTTCAATCCTACTAGGGACGTTTTAACAACGAGTTGAACTGTATTGAGAAGGAAGTATTGAGAACGAGGTAGAACTAATTGCAAACTGGTTTAAACTGATTAAAAACGTATTTAAGACTGCTTATGAACGAGTTAGCAAAAATAAAGCTATCACACCAAACAAGTTGCCACTGCGTTCTTCAAAACTGATGTTAAACTGTGTGCGAGCGGAATGAACATATTTGCAACTTTCTAAGGTCTTCTTTAAATAAAATTCACCGTTTGCAAAAACAATTTATAAGAATATATGATACAAATTGTAAATTAAGAGATCACACAGCACCATTCTTCAAAAATGCTAACATTCTTAATATATTTCAAATTTTTAAAGTCAGTATCCTGACATATCTTTTCAAATGTATCAAAGGCACTGACCCAACATCCAAAAGCCAATTCAGTTATTACTTCACTCCAAACAATATTATTCATAGACATGAGACTAGACAACAATTCAAACTCAGATCAGCAACTTTTAGAACAAACATTGGCAAATATTCCATCAGTAAGCAGGGACCAGATTTATGGAATATATTACCTGATGAAGTTACTAAGTGCAACTCTATACCTCTTTTCAAGAAAAAGATCAAGTCATTTTTGATCAATCAATGATAACAATCTCCAATTAGCTATTCACTTATGCTGTCTACCTAGTAGCTATTGTTATCGTTCTTTCTTTTTCTGCTCATTGATTTTATTCCATCATCTAATTGGCAAAGCCAACATATATCATCGCCTATCATTTTTCAAAGCACTTAACCTTATTCGAATATACTGCTCAGAGACTGTAACTGGCAACCCAGTTTACTTTCCATATTGTTAAGACCATGCTGACGGGTGGGGGATGGAGGTGAGGAGTGCGAGGCTGGAGATACATAATTTACACAACACTGCTTGTCATGTTCATCTTCTCTGTGCGGATAATATGCCCATTAGGGTGTCATCCGCCTTATCTGTATGTTTCACCAGATGTTTGAAAATAAATAAATGAAATGAAAATGAATGAAATATTTACGAACTTCATGAACGTTCTCAGACGGGATGGTAATTTTAGAATTTTGAATCGATTCAAAATTCGATGACGACCATACCGTTCTGTAATCAGGTCATGATGACCTTCTATACTAAGGTCGCGTTACACGACGTTTGCACACCGACGTGGTGCGACCAAGGGAAAGATCAATACCCGGTGATTTTAGCGGGAAGTGGCGTTTCGTTCATTGGATGAGCTGCGCGCGCACGCATAAATGTGATTATCCAATATAATTAGGGGAGGGCTATTTGAAGTAGTTTTTGGTCTCAGGCGCGACCCAGGGCTGTTGTCTTCAGGACATTTCGTTGAAAATGAGCCATTCGGCTGATAATTGGTAAGAGTTTGCGATCTTATAATGTGTAACTGTTACTCAGACACATATTTTGACACGATTCTGTTGGAAATAAGCTTTGAACCGAGAGATATTCACGATTGATATGCACATTTTTGATTGTGCCATTGCTTTTCTATTGCACAACCCATGTATTGATAGAAGAAACATTAATAATACAGATTGGTTTACCTTCAATACATGGCAGACACTACATATCGGTCTATTAATACCAGTTTGTGCCTTAAATAGTTTTATATTTCCATCCACGGCCTGGAGCCTGGGTGTGTTTGTCTCTTATGTGTATGCTTGTGCATGGACTTCAAATCACTAGCAGAATTTAACATGATGCAAACTCGACATTATAACTCATGCTGTAACATTTTGACTTCGCTGGAAAACAATAGGAATTATTTTTCTTGCCAATCAATCATGAATCACAATCAAAATTTCAGAATGATCAATCAGGCAATGATCCAAATCAAGTTATAACATTATATGATATTCAGCAAGAAGTCCGGTAGAAATACAGAATATTTAAACATCAAAGCTGAAAGTTAAAAGCTAATCTGTCAATTTTCTGTCTGCAAAAGAGCGTCCCAAGAGCGTTTACATTTGACACAATAACAGACTGAGGCTTTGAAATCTAGGATTCCCCAGGAAAATATGACGTCATACTAATTAGCATAAGGATTTCCCTATTGCTGTGGGTCGAGCCTTGTTCGAAAACACAATCCATAAATACATGCTAATTTCTAAGGAGATAGGAAGTGTATAACGTGTTTATCGATTTTGTTTAAAGGTTTAATCAATTATCAAATTGTTTAAGTGGATAAAGTGGTCACACTTGCTTCAATTCATAGCGAAATCGACGGATAGAAACTGACCGAATTCCCGATATCCTACCCCGTATTACTGTAGGCTATAAGCACAGTGACCTACAGAGGGCGCTATCACAAACAAGTACTGGACGAACCGATAAATTCCCGGGTATTGTAACGCCCTTGGTGCGACCTGAACGAACTGCGAATGAGATGGACGTATTGAAGACTGTTTATGAACGAAGTAGCTAATTATTTTAGACATATTTCCCGACCACAGCCAGATTGAGCCCGTTTTACGACGTTTTTGTAGGACTGGCAAGAACGGGTAAGAACTAGTTTGGTGTGATAGGGGGGTAATAGACAACAAATACATATATGCGTACAAGTATATTATCTAAACGAACAATTTCAACAGTTCAAAGATTGGATGGTAGACCACGTATTAACACGGAAATGGTCATTCCGCAACCCGTTTATTCCGTGACCCATTCCGTATTAGAACGAGGACTTGCATCAAATCTTTAAACTATGAATCGAAATAGATCATCCATTACTTGAACGGCACCGACCAACTCAGTTCGTGTAGGACTGTTATACCCGTCGCGGACAGGTGAAATCGGTTTGATAATTATGAGTATCAAAACGTTATGATTATGTTATGTTACGTTATGACAATTTTCTCATTTCTTCATGTTTTTGCGAATGTAAAAAAGGAGGTTGAGACCCAAAAGGCTTTTCCATTCTTCTCTCCACATACCGGTATATGTATTTCTTGTCTACGGAAAGTACAATCAATTCACTAGGACTTAGCTACGCAGTATCACCTTCCCAACTTGCTGTCAAATCACCTTCCCAACTTGCTGTCAAATAATATGGTCACAATTTTTTATAAAATGATCAGTTATATTCCGTTGTAATGTCAACAAACCCAGTGCCACGGAATGGATCACGTGGATAGGGTGTATATATGAATCGACCAATAGCTCGCGATCACAATTAGTGAAACGTTTTAGTGATTTATCCTGCAGTGCTTTCGTTATTTCAAGTTTAACTCAACAGCAAAACATTTTAATACCAACGTTACATAAAGTAACATTTTCGGATACCTGAGCACTGTAAGTATTTGGTTTATTTCTAAACCATGTGCGTGACAATCAATCGGACCGGAGTAAGTTTAGAATAAGAAAATAATTCTGGAGTATTTTATCATTCTAACAAGCTACGACCGTATTCACTTTACTAAAAATGTATTTTATCAAACTATCGTATTGTTCTCACTGTTCAGACCTAATTTCATTGAACTTATGTACAAGCGCCTATTTATATGCTCGAATCTTTAAAATCCTGTTATGGGAAGTTCATTCCATATATCTCCTTTTTGCATTCTCCATTGTTGTAAAGACGTGTCGCAAATAGGTGGCGCATTTGTTTTTTAAGGGTATCGCGTGAATGTAACTTTGATTCCCCGGATTATAAGATAATATTTTAATTAAAGTTATATATCATTTTAAAGCTGTTTCGATGAAGATTTTAGATCAACTACACTCCGTTCACATTTTTTGCGCGTTCGTTTTTAAAAAAGAGTTTTTTACCAAAACATCTGGCAAATATCCTATGTTGACACGTTACATTTTGAATTATTTTTCGTCTTTAAACGCTCATAACTCAAACAATATATGACTATTATACTTATTTTTCGTCTTGATAAAGGTAGATGGAAGTTTTATTTCAAAGGATGAATTTTAGTAAGCGTCCCATATTGTGACGTCATAGAGTCTGAAAAATAGAATCTGTTGACAGCGACCTTTTTTGCTCATTTTTTTGGTACTTTCAACTTTTCAGGTGTACATTAAACAAAAAATACGAGATCAATTTTTAATAAATCATACATGATTATTTTGCTCCTAAACTCTAGTTTATTAATAAATAGTTGATTTTGTTCACAAAAGTATGTGTTTTCTGTTGTATGTGGAAAAGTGGAGGACGAAAGGTTTTCAAAATTCATTAAAATAGGGCTAATTTACGCCATTCGCCTATTTTCAAGCACAGCAACACGTATATTTATTTCACCTAAAATATCAATTGATTCGTGTTTTATGATGCTCCTAGCCCATTAACAATATATATATGATATCAGAGTTATTCGTCTAAAATGTTTTGAGATATAGAGGTAAATGTGGAGGACGAAAGGATTTTCATGTGTGTACATTTTTCTCAAAAACGTCACATTCTATCATGTTAAAAGCGAGGATTCTCTGGATTACGCCACAAAATGTGTAACAATGCGTGCGCGAGCTTTTTGCGACACGTCAAACTATTAGTTGTTGTTTTTTAATTCGAAAATGAATGAATTGTCGAAGATCTCCATGTGGCTGCAACCAGGTCAAATAAGGGTTCATTTATTTTGGATACTCAAAATCATTTATCTATAGCAGGTGCACATTTTGATTAAATTTTAATAGAATGTAGGCTTAAGAAAACATGTACTTGGATGCATTTTTCAAAGATTTGCAGGAATTCCACAATTTCCCATTGATTTAATGTGATTTTCATAATCCATAATTATATATTATATTCATGAGCAATATCCGTTTAATCAAGGAAGAATGGATCGAAAATGATTGAGCCAATTTTTATTTTTCCAAATTACTATCCCAATACGCTTTCAAGTACGTACATGTAACAAACTAATTAATTATAACTTACTTATCACCTTGAAAAATAAGTTACGTGTTTACGCTTTGGAGTACACGTCAGTATCTCCGCAACGAAAGTCAGTTAGGCTTTTACTATTTTTCAGCTATGCAATACATAATGACGAAGATGGAATTAACCTTCTGGACATTGGTTATCCTGATCTTATGGGTAGCTAGTGCCTATGATTTGAACGATAAGATTGCGTCGATGGAAAAACAAATCGAAGGCCTGATGTCCCAAGTTGATCGTCAAACGCAGCCCGTGACAACGTTCATTAGATGGGGGCGCACTGAGTGCCCTGTTGGTGCATGTGACGTTTACAGCGGTTATGTTGGCGGGTCATATTGGTCGGAGTCGGGCAGTGGGGGAGACTATCAATGCCTTCCGTCACATCCCCAGTGGGGCAACTACACAGACGGAACAGCCAGATGGGGCGCTTCCATGTTTGGCGCAGAGTACGACGTTTTACCTCCCGATCGCAGAAATCCATTCCTTGGCACTAATTCGCCAACGTCAGACCCGAATTCTTTACATAATCGTGACGTTCCTTGCACAGTATGCAGTGTACCGAGATCGGAAACACTTATGATTCCCGCATGGAAGGCGTGCCCAGCAGGTTGGAAGAAGGAATATAATGGGTATCTAATGGCGGAACATAGAGCTCATTTAAGTAATAAAAACTTTATATGTGTTGACGAGGCGCCAGAGGCGATGCCAGGGGGAATGGCCAGAGAACAAGGAGCACTGTTGTACGCGGTAGAGGCGAAGTGCGGCTCACTTCCATGTCCGCTTTACGTTCAAGGAAGAGAGCTCACTTGTGTCGTTTGCACCAAATAGAACGACATAATTAATAAGACTTCATCATATGACGTTTGTATCCAAGAACTGTCGAATAAGTATTGTCTACGTTGAATCAAGATCAAATGAACTGAATAACCACGTTTGTATCCAAGAATTATCGAATTATTAAGATCCATGTTGTATCAAGATCCAATGAGATGACTAAAAAGGTTTTAATTCGTATCCAGGAACTGTCGTGTCTGCCTATATTGTCAAAAGTTCTTGTACGTACACACTTTATGCAGGCAGATCGCATGAAATGACAATCCCACAATGCGAGACTCAACAATAAGCATGAAACTAGAAACATTTTGTGACTCATGTAGCAAATCATTTTTTACACTGCTTAATTGAGGGTGAATGACAGTCACATTAAGTATGAAAATAACATATTAATCTTTTGATATTTCAAGGAAAATCGCCTGAAAAGTGATGGCCGAGATTGAAAATATGATGTTAAGACAAAACCGCAATGGAATTTTGTAGATTTCTTTGAAAAATTCAGAAATATACATCACAAGTCGTTTTCAAAACAGAAAGATGTACATGAATAGTAAGGCTTACCGAATCAATAATTATTCGAAATTATGATCGGACAAAAGTATGATGTGTACTTCGAGGTAATAAAGTAAATGAAAATATATTTTAATATGTTTATTTTCATTTTATAGTACTATGTTATTTGATTGTAAAATGAATCAATTTTATACATGGCCAGTTTTCCCATATTTTGTGTTGTATTTGACAACTTACAACAACGGGCAACGTTTCATGTTAGTGAAAAGAAATACTTCATGAAATAGAAATGCAATCCGTGACACCTGCTACATTGAAAAACAATAAAACATTGCAGAAGTATCCGTTAATGTTCATAATTATGTGTTTCACATTTATGTTCACATTTATGTGTTTTGTAAATGTCCTATCCAGGTAACTATTGAATTAAATACAATGCTAAAGTCATAAATCAGAGGCTTTGTTTTTATCATGACCTCCATGTGTGTATAATGTTATCAAGACTTGGGATATGGACTTGTCCGTTTTCAAAAATGCTCATAAACCAAATCAAGTGCTCGAGGTATCAAAAATTAGTCATTGGTTACAATATGTATGGGAATTCTTGTTAACTTTGTTTTTAGAGTATTATATGATTTTATCAAAATTATATTAAAATAAATGAATAAATATCATAATTATAATAGTGGACCGGAAAATATATGCGTATAGTTAATGCCTATACAATACGGGATATATTCTTTGACGATATTAGGGTTGTGGTAACAGGAGATAATAATTACTTTGATTTTTGGCATAGTGAAAGTAAACGGTCAACAAAATATTCTTCACCAAGGCAATGGATATGGTATTTATAAACTCAACTGTTTGACATTAAAACTAATTAAAAGTAATATATTCATCATGGTTTTAGACATATTTATTTTGTAGATCAAATCTTCAATATGTATATTATATATACATTTACACACTATACAGAGTGACATATAAAAGTATGAAAGATATGGTATTTATCATGTACAACAATAACACACAAAAAGTTAAGAAACGACTGGCATCTTGTGTTTTCCAAAACTGACCACTATTTTCTTATCATTTCATGTTCACACTTAACATTATAAGTACACATTTGTTCATATGATGCACACAGTGACGTCGAAAGCATAAATGGAATTATTAGAACAATATAGGAAAAGCTGATCAAAATAAATTTCCATTTTTGGCACATCAAAACACTATTTGATGCTGTATTGTTTGCATTGTCGTCGCTTATGTACAGAATCGCAAAAATGTAAACGTTAACGTTTATGTTGCTAATTAAGAGCATTTGTAGATTCCAAAATCAATCAATCAATCAATGTCTTATTTGAAAACAGCTAGTTTATTTTAACTGACGTGTCCAGTCTCCAAACCGAGTCCTTATGAAACTTGAATCCATTTTATGGTGAATATGTTACGCAAAATTCGGCCCTGCATCCATCATCGACCCATAGTTGTAGTGAGGACCACTGATCTGTACCCCATAAGTCAGCTGTACATGTTTTTCTGGAGATAAAGGAATTAAGGCATTCATTATAATTTTTTCAATTGCTATACTATACATTGTAAAATGTACATATTTCCGTTACACAAATGTACTTTAACTGGGTTAATCACACAAAAATGTATATTGTTATATGTGTAACTTTACATCTCACATTTTATGTGATGACAAATAAGCACGTGACCCAAAAATGAAGCTTCACATTGTTCGAGAATTCATGGTTAAACCCAAAATTCCCAATTTGGCACTTAAGACAAAATGCATTACATATTTACAAATATACTTTGTAATGACAATTTGGAAATTTACCTTGATATCTGCTTATTCAATGTGGGAACCCCGAGCGTTCCATCCCGTATAGGCAGGGGCACCAGCCATCGGTTCACACGTCTTTTTGATATATCTTTTGCTGGAGCACCGGAAGCAAAATGTACCTGAAAAGAAACTGACTGATGTAACGGACCCTATTATAGACGTCATTAATATAGTGTCGAAAGAGTTAGTCAGAAGTTGATGTAACCTATTCTATAGCCTCGTCTATTTTTGCCTAACAACTTGATAGCCATGTCACTGCGCACATAATATTACTAATTATTTCAACATACCTTGTTCGCATTGTTCCCCAGAAGAGCCAGCTGGGCAGAGACATCTATAGTTATCACCGAATGTGTTGACACAAATCGAGTCGCCAAGGCATGGATTTTGAGCACATGGATCATCTACAATAAAAAGAATTATCGTATGATCTGTAAAATGAAGCCCTCTGATTGGTCAGTTCTTGTGCTGTACCAATCTGTATTGCTACTGAGATTGTTCCCGTTGATCATCTCCGTCGCAATGCAGAAAATATTGGTACGGAGGGGACAATTTCAGTAGCAATACAGAGTATCACACGTTCGTCTCGTTCCAATACGGAATTTCTCGAGCAGAATATATCCTGTATTGCACTTCAAATCATTCAATAACTTATAATACATATTTGTGTTAAATGAACCTCTTTATAAAACACAGATATACCTTATAACTCGATTATCTGAGGAATGTATACCCTTTAGTATTAATTGAAATCATTTCAGTTCACGATTTCTAAAGACATGCAGGTTGGGGCAAAATAATTTGAATGTATTTCAATTCCTTGTTTGCTAGTCATGTGTTATCTTACTGAAAAAGAAAATATATGATAACGAATCCATGCCCAACATGCCCTCAAATTCAACGAGGTCATGACTATTTGCCTAACCCTTCTGAAAAATCAGCCTGGTCCATTTTTGCTACTAATGGCTTGAACATTGAATATTTGAAAATTTTCATGACATACCGTCCTATACTGGTCACGTAAGTGAAACGGTAAAACAAAAATCTCTATTTTTAATTCTCGCAACGGAAACAGTTCATTATCTGCATTTTGAAAATGAACAATTTATCATCAGATAAAACATTTCCCATATTTTTGGGTCAGCCCTGCAGTTTGTTCTTTGAAAAAGCACAGATCATTTAAAATACACAAAGGATACCATATGATTCATTAGTGTAATGAATCTTACCCTCAATCGATATCTTCAGGAGCAAACAGAGCGCCATATCGATATACTACGAATATATTTATCTGTGAGTGGATAAAAACATCGCGATATTATCTACATTTACATAAATTAAACGACATGTGAATATAATATTCAACTGGACTTACTGGTTACGGGCCATGAACATGAGCAGCTTGGAGCTCCAGCAACATCTGAAAAAATAGAAGGGAAGCTTTTTATATGAGACATTGTACTTCATCGTATGTTTAGATTATAATTCAATGTGATAATAATATACAAGGGGCGATCCATATATTCTGATAAAAATGCTCTCATTTTATGATTTTTTCACATATCCCTCTCATGTATTCAGAAAATGTAGATTATGTAATTACTCATACAATGCTAAAATATTATAGCTATATCTTAAATTATCAATTAGATAAGGTTCCCATGGTAACCTGTATTAAGGGTAGGCAGGTCAATTTAATTATAACATATAAATATCAAAATAACTTGTGATTTTAATTATTTTAAAGCATGCGGAAATCCTGCATTTTTTCTAAAAAAGTTTGGTATTGTTACTCGTTGTTTGTTGCTAAACAAATGTTTATATGTGCTCACTATAACATCACAACAAATCACAATAGCATTGTAGGACAGAATGGGCCAGTTGACATTACATGTTATGAGACACACCAAAAATCAAATTGTCAGATTAGGTTAATGTGGCTGATGCAGAGTGTCACATTAACGGATACATTAGGGAATACCATTAGATTTGATTTTCTTTCAAGAATAAGTAAGAGGACACTGTCAGAGACATACATGAACTCATAAAGTGCATGGGCAAGGTGTTATATCTGCATAAAGAATATATAGGTAGTATTGTAAAGAGGAAAGCATGGTCACTGTTGAAGATCATCCGCAATCTGGTTGCAAGAAGAGCTTGCGGACAGAGAATAACACTACGATAAATTGAGATGTTACTTATGAAAAGATAGCTATCCCACTGTATAAATTATCAACCAAGGGCAACAGGGGTATGGAACAGATCAATGAATAGTTGGCAATGACTGGGAGATGCGTTTGATCTGCTTAAAATAGGTACCTGGGAATGATTAAATTAACATATTTATCTATTTTAGACGTTATAATTTAACTGACCTGCCTACCTTAAATACAAGTTACAATGGCAACCTTATTTCAAAATTAATTTAAGATACAGCTCTAAATATTTTAGCATCGTATGTGTAATTACATAATCTACATGTTCTGAAAAAATGAAAGGGATATGTGAAAAAAAATGAGAGAATTTTTATCAGAATATATGGATCGCCCCTTGTATATGCATATTTATTTTCAAATCAAATCCGGCAATCAAGTCAATTTTAGCGTGGAAATATACTTTGAACATTTGTCAGTGGTCCCGCCATTTTTCGATTGTTATAACTCAAAGATGTAGCAATTTATCTCATTTAATAAATTATTAAATTTTCGTTTATTTGATATTTTATATAATCTATGGGGAATGCATATACATAGGCTATATACAAAACATAAAATTCGCGTGGGGTGCTTTGTCTAAATCAAAATCGCACGACATCCTACCTTCTTCGCATTGTAGGCCAGTTTTGTGTGGGGGACAGATACAGCTGAGTCCATCGTTCCATGGGATACTTACACCTTCATTGCAGGTTACTGGAATAAGAAAATAAGCACCAACTCAAGTAAAATAAAAATGAATATGTATCATCTAATTTAAATTGAACGTTAAAGATTATTACTTAATTCTTAATACAGTATACCAGATTAATAAGTTTCATACCAGGACATTCTCCATCATTACATGACTGTGTGTCTGTCAGATCACTTGGATTGCACTCGCTTCCTCCATTAGCTGGAGCTGGGTTGTCACATGCTCTTGTACGAGTTTGGTCTCCATCGCCGCATGTTGTAGAACACGCTCCCCATGCTGACCAGGTACCGGGACCTCCGTTGACTAGAATAAATAAAATTCCCTAGTTCTATCATACTCAAAGTGCCTTAATTGAATTGATCCTTTATATTACATCCAGTTCTGAAATGAATTTGTGTTCATTGACATTACTTTTTGTGTAGAATCTAGCAATGCAAAGTACGCACCTGGACATTCCCCGTCATTACATGACTGTGTATCCGTCAGATCACTTGGATTGCATTCGCTTCCTCCATTAGCTGGGGCTGGGTTGTCACATGCTCTTGTACGAGTTTGGTCTCCATCTCCGCATGTTGTAGAACATGCTCCCCATGCTGACCAGAATCCAAGACCTCCGTTAACTAAATTAGAAAATATTGCTTATAGATAATGTTTCAGTTAATCATACTTCAATTACCATGAGTGTTTCGAGTCGTACTTTTGTACAACATCCAGTTCTAAAATGAATTTGCGTCCATCGGGCTTCGCATTGTATAGTCACTACGAAAGCTATGAAAATCATAGGAATTATTACCGTAGATACAGCAATATAGAAGGTGAATTCGAAGTAATGCAATATATACTGAAATTACCGCTTGTATTATATCAAGTTAAGTTTTTTTCCGTATCATTTGGTGATATAAAACATCTTATTTCAAGTATGGGAGAATATAATTGAATATAAACTTTTTTCTTGCCTCTTATTCTTCTTATTAACGCGTATAATAATTTAAAACTAGTTGTTTAGAATCGAGCAATACGAAGTTCATACCAGGACAGTCCCCATCATTACACGACTGCGTTTCAGTCAGATCACTTGGATTGCATTCGAGTCCTCCATTAGCTGGGGCTGGGTTGTCACATGCTCTTGTACGAGTTTGGTCTCCATCTCCGCATGTTGTAGAGCACGCTCCCCATGCTGACCAGAATCCTAGACCTCCGTTAACTAAATTAGAAAATATTGCTTATAGATAATTTTTCAGTTAATCATACTTCAATTACCACACTCTTAAAAATGAATTACTTGAGTATTTCCCAAGTATAAAAATTACTTAAAGTTAAATACTTAGTTTTACTTCATTTTACTTAGGTTTAACTTATATTGTCATTTTGAGTTTTTTAATTGCTTAATTATGTAAATGAGTATTACAATTACTATACAATAAGTATTTCAATTTCTCTCCTTGCATTAGTAAATTCACCATAAATGAATTACTTAAAAATTACTTAAAAATTATTCAGTAGTTCAAGATTATTTAAGTAATTTTTGACTTAAAATGAGTAGTACAATTTCTCAATATAAGGAAATCCAAGTAATAATTTTTAAGAGTGCAATTGTGTTTCGAGTCGTACTTTTGTACAACATTCAGTTCTTAAATGAATTTGCGTTCATTGGGGTTCGCATTGTATATAGTTGTCTAGAATCAAGCAATACCAAGTTTATACCAGGGCATTCTCCATCATTACACGACTGCGTTTCTGTCAGGTCACTTGGATTACATTCGCTTCCTCCATTAGTTGGGGCTGGATTGTCACATGCTCTTGTACGAGTTTGGTCTCCATCTCCGCATGTGGTAGAGCACGCTCCCCAAGCCGACCAGGTACCAGGTCCTCCATTTACTAAAAGTCAGTTCAATTTAAAAATTGAGTTCCTTTTCTTAATTATGGAGAACAGTATGTAGTCAAACTATGGACTAAAAGTGTTGGCCAAAACCATGGGCTTTCAATTTTATTAAGATGCGTTGGCAGAGTTGACTAAGTAAAACGAATATATTCTCGAAAGTGTTTGGAAAATTGTGTATGATTGATTTTTCGTGGATAAAAAACATTCACTACCAAAAGCAGATATGTTCAGAAGTAACAAAATATTTCTAACGTATAAACATACTGATTATGTCATCATATATACCTGGTATCTGCGTAGCCGGTGGTTGACTTTCGAGGGTAGTGGTTGGAAGAATAGTAGTCGTTGGTAACGTCGTCGTTTCCAATAGGGTAGTAGTTGGTATTAGAGTGGTTGTTGGTAGGATTGTTGTTTCCAGTAGGGTAGTAGTTGGTATAAGAGTGGTTGTTGGTAGGATTGTTGTTTCCAATAATATGGTAGTTTCCGGTTCAATCGCACTTGTGAGAACTGAAAATACATATTAGAATCGAGTAATTTGCAGAAAACAGGCAGATTGCACTACAATTATCGCACAAATGTTTGAAAACTAAAATTGATGTGTACTTTACAGTATTCTTAATCTCTTTAAAGAACAATTGTAAATATTTTCTCATTTTCTTACAATTTTGTTCCATGATTTGGTGGCAATATAAAAAACCATAGCTCGTCAAGAATTACCATTAACATATTAATGTGCTCTCTCATCTCTAAACAAACCAAAAATCCTATTTTTATTAACTGGACTTTTTAGAATTTTAGATTTATCCATTTTACACACTTTAAGATAAATATTTTTTACAAATGTTATACACGTTTATAATGTGTAACTTTAATTTATAAACTGTTCAATTTTCGATTAGAATGTAATCATATGAAGACTTGTTAAGCACAAAACTGAACCCGAAATATGGTTTTAAAACTACAAAATGGACTGCGTTCATGACCTGTTCAGAAATATAACATCAATTATAACCGGTTTAAAATTCTTTGAATCACCACCAAGACTTCTAGGAACGTCTGTGTAAATATTTTAAAATATCAAATATTATAGATATACAAACAATTCTTAATTCATAAATTAACCAATACCTGTTAAAGTGTATAATGTAACATAGACCTACCTGTCACACAAGCGAACATCACTTTCACAAGCCAAAATTTGAGCTGCATCTTTTCTCCTGAATTGTAACTGATCAGACGAATATTGAAAATGCGAGATTTTCGCTATTTATACAAATCTCAGGTCTCTAATTAGTTGAGTTTTACATAAAATAATTATATCAATGTGATTCTTAATGCCTGATTGCCTGATTTGCAATGTGATAGGGGTATCAGGTAATTTGGTAAGTATCCCGGAGACCTTTAACCATGGGATTCAGCAGGTGTATGCAGGACCGCTAATTAGGCAGTGATATAGAAACAGATAGGTTAATTATATCTCTAAATTGTTTTAAGTATAAATTAATGTTTTCTATAAATGCAAATAGATAATATCATAACATACCAGGAATTGTGGAAGGACTATTAACATACTATGACAATTGTAAATATACATTTTGGTCCAAAAATTTGAACATTATATTGTATGTGTAGAAAATGTATTTCCCAAATGGCTAGATAACAACCTCAAGTTTAATTTGGTATGCAAATTATGATTTAAGGTAACCGTTAACTTAATCAAAATACAAAAAATGGCAGCCATATATTTTTTACTAAGTCACATGATTTTGTATTCTGTTTTCCTTATATGTGAATGCATTTCCTGACTAAAGAGACATGTCAAAGAAAACTTCACCTTTAAACGCATTTTTTATAACTATGAATTGGAGGTGCATGGGTCCCCAAAGCTAACATTAAGACCGTGAAATGAGGCTAATTTTTGAGAGTTTGAGGAGTAGCCTTGCAACAGTCAAACATTTGCAAGAATCCCAAATTTCCACAAATCATCTTACCTTACCAAGGAACATCGAGGGAGCATGAAAATGTGCTCTTCTTGCATTGTTAGAATATGATAAAGCTCAAACCATAGTTTCTGATAAATATTTCATGTCCACCATTTTTCTTGCTGGAACTACTTCTAGACTTCCTGTAATCCTCATATAAGTTTTTGTGACTTCACCAAGTGGCATGGATTATCACTAGTATACTTTATATATAACAGTATAATAATCATGATAGATACATAATTGATGTTTTTTAAAGGCCCCATATAAAGTTTAAACCACTTTGGCTTATATTGTAGTCCTACCCAATGTTATCAAAGTGTGATATGTGAAACTTTTTTTTTAAATTTCAAAAAGTGGTTTTTGATAGACTTTTTGTTCCAAAATTTGTGAATTTATTTAAAACCAACTTTTAGAGGTCACTCATATCTTCTAATTAGCCACAATTTATACCAATGCATAGCTTTCATCCTCCCGTGTTTTTTGCCGAAAAAATTAAGAAAATCGGTTCATAAATAAGCGAGAAATGAACTGAAAATGAAAATGGTTCTGAGAAAAATGCATTTCAAAATTTTAGTTCTCATAGAAACCAATGGTACAATGATATCTAAAACATAATTTATTTTTTCTTTTAACTTGGTTAGACAATCAACATTGGTTTTTTATGAAAGTCTAACATATTTAGAAAAGATTGACATCGAAAAATTTAAAAAAAAAAAAAAGTTTTTGGTACCTTAGTGACATCACTAATGTTTCAAAATATTTTTGATATGCTAAAACATTGAAGTGGCCCATTAAATATGGCATTTTATTATTGACCATCCCAGTCACATTTCCTACGGCGACCTTGCGGTCTATCATTTCTGCGGCCAGTAACATTTCTACGCTCGCTGTGGAATTTCTGCGCTCTCATACTTTTGCAGTCACATTTCCCACGGCAGCCGCACGGTGAATTTTAAATTACTGTTGATTTTTTTCATTTAATTTACATCGGTAAAATTTATAAATGTTATTCATAGTGCAAGGATGTAATATCAAATGAAAAGTGATCGTGAAACATTGACAAATAATGATTCAATCTTGTTGAGCCAGTTGATTTCTACGGGGAACTCAGAAATGAACATATATTATAACTCCGATTTATAATTTCTACGGCGACCCTGCGGCCTTCAAAAAACTGGATACGCCGTACGAAGGCCGCAAGGCGATCGTAGTTTTCCTACGCTCGCGGCAGAAATACACTGATTTAATTGATCTGCGGTCGACGCACGGCCTCCGTACGACAAATGTGACTGGGGTGTTAGGTAAGATGATTTGTGGAAATTTTGAAGTCTTACAAATGTGTCTCCATTGCAATCCTACTCCTTGAAATTTTAAAAAGTTATCCTCACTTCACTGTCTCCATGCTAGTTTTAGGGACCCATGCACCTCCAATTCATCGTTAAAAATGCGTTTAAATGTGAAGCTTTCTTTGACATGTCTCTTTAGTCAGGAAATGCATTCACATATAAGGAAAACAGAAAACAAAATCTTGTGACTTAGTCAAAAAATATGCCTGCCATTTTTTTGTACTTTTGATTAACTTAAGCGTTACCTTAATATCAAAAATTCAAAAAGTTAAAGCATTTTGAAAAAAGTGGCGTTTTTTGGCCCACCTTGTATATGCCATGGACCGAAATTACATTTGGAATAATACCAAATCGAGCATTTATCTTATATCTTACTGAATCACTGATTTGTATTTGCTCAACATCTTAAAATATGGATGCTAAATTAAAAAAAAAAACAAGTTAAATTTGAAATTGTTGATTATTCAATTATTGCGTGTTCCATTGATTTCAAAGGCTTTTCGTGATATCTGCTATCTTTGGAAGTGCATAAGTTCAGTCAAAGAAATTCTTTTACGTTGACTCTGATTTATATGAAAGATAACAGATTATTCTTTGGGAAAATTTGCCTTTTTGTCACAAAAAAATTATTTTGAAATAAAATAAAAAAAATAAAATTAGCATTCAATTGTTATAATTAAACACTCGTTCACGAGAATACTTGTTTTTGGGCTCTTATCCCAAAGATTAATGATTACATAAGGTTGCATAATCATGATTTTGCGCTGTCATTGCGTAACATTATCTCATGATTAGGTAATCGTTTCTTTTGTATACAATTATGCAAGCTCTGATCGATAGATAGCCGTCTCCCCATGCCAAAATGTTTTGTAAATGTTATATTTTATGAAATAAAATCTATAAAAACGTACACATGTTCTTTGGATATAAATTGGGCTCTTATCGGGGCATATTGATTCCATTTTGTATGATGATACAAACCGTCGTGTATAAAGTGAGGAGTGAAAATAAAAACAATAGACATATATTCATAAAAACAAAATGTCACATTTTCTACAAAAAAACAAAACAGCAAATAAACATGACAAACGTGTTTGATAAAAGCAGTAATTTAGCACGCTACTTTTCAATATGTGCATCTTTTTGGGATCCTCAGTCCCTACTATCCCTTTGAATAGAGTAGCAAACATCAGAATGTGACGGTCTTGCCTTAAAATACAAGTTTATTGTGTTAATTAAACAATGGGCAATTAATTAGGAGACGGTCTTGTTGATAATGTCTATCTCTATTCATTTGAAAAATATAACCATGATTATGATAGAAATCAGTTATTAGGTCTACCTTTTCAGTACATATTTTTCATACAACGATTTAAACTATACAGAATTATATCTTTTGAAGTTTGATAATTTTGTCTCTTTGACAATTTAATTACCAGAGGCATATAAAAATGTTATTATATGATTTCCATAAGTTCGATATGCATTCTGTTTAATTAGCGTTTACATTCACCTGCTCTACTTGTACAATCAGTACTCTCCAGTCCGCTGCTAAGGTCACCGGGAGACGTACTAAATTACCTAATAACCCTATCATCGCATTACAAAGTAGACTCTAAATAACCATAATAATCAAATCTTAATTTAAAGAAGTAATCGTTTAATGCAAATTAACTAATTACACCCCTATCATGTTACCACTGCATTCATATAAAAGACAGAGATACATAAATGTCAGTATTTTACTGATCGGCGGTAATTCAGAAGATAACAATGCAGTTAAACATTTGGCTGGTGAAAGTGCTGTTCACTTGTGTGACAGGTAAGTTACATTAGGGTAATTTCTAGATTTGCGTATTTCTAAAAACACGGCATCATTTAGCTTGGCAATATAAAAATTCCTGAAAGCACTAGGGATCAACTGGAAACGAAGACATTCATTATGTGTTCATTATAACATTGCCGGAATACCGGAAACAGAACTCGAAAATATTTTTTGTTTTGATCGAAAAGGTAGTTTATCCTCCAAATTTCTACTAAAGATTTGGCATATATATATAGTGCGTAGATTCCTATTTCGAAAAATGATTTCACAAACAAAATATCAGAACAATTGGGCTATATTTTCCTGAGGAGAAATCATATTTCCAAACAATAATCTCCGCACTACATACGTGCCAAATATTTGGATAATAGAGAGATTTTTCAACTCACGTATAGCATGTTTTTATTCTCGTATAGCTTATAACTTATGAAGCGATGGACTAGTAATCGAGAAAACAAAAAATCTTACCAAAGTCTGCTTCCGGTCCGACCATTATGATTTCGTTTCTAGTCGATCCCCAGTGAAGAGGTAAAGTTTCTTATTAGACAGCATGGTAAAACAACAAACCACTTTGTTATAATGCATATATTTCTACATATGTACGAGTTTCTTTTCTATGAGTGTAGCAAGTTTAAAAACATAACCAAAATAGCCGAAATGAAAAGCTAAATATTGTGGTTGTGGTTGATACGATTTAGATCCAACACAGGTCATCATTTAAATGTACTTGAATAGCTTTCACACAAATTGCCGTTTACATTCTAACTATTATTAAAACTCATTGAATGTATGCTAATTGTCTGTTTCCCAAGAGACTTGTATATTACTACCTGTGTATCATAAGCATATTTTACTTTTATTTAATTAGCTAAGCTATTTCACGAAAAGATGCGTAGTTATATCTGCTATATATGTTCAAATGAGTAATTCTGATATGTTTTTTTAGTTCTCACGCGTGCGACTGAACCGGAAACTACCATATTATTGGAAACAACGATCCTACCAACAACCACTCTTATACCAACTACTACCCTACTGGAAACAACAATCCTACCAACAACCACTCTAATACCAACGACTACCCTATTGGAAACAACAGTACTACCAACTACTACTATTCTCCCAACCACTACCCTCGAAAGTCAACCACCAGCTACGCAGATACCAGGTATTATGATGACAGATCAATCAGAATGTTTATACGTTAGAAATATTTTGTTAGTTCTGATCATATCTGCTACTTTATAATGAAATGAGTGTTTCATTCTTTAGAATTCAGCTAGTAATGCTTAGAAAATTAACTATACCATTGACATGAGAATATACGTTATGCAACGTAAATATCACAATGTTAGATAAACTCAAATTGCTTCGAAAAATGATTTGCACGTTTTCTGCAATACTTTTTCTTTTAAGTACACTATTTTGAGAATTAAACGTGATTTATATAAAGAGAGAGAATCCGTTTATTTGTACTGAGCTATGTTTTAGTTAACGGAGGTCCTGGTACGTGGTCAGCATGGGGACCGTGTTCTACAACATGCGGAGATGGAGACCAGACTCGAACAAGAGCATGTGACAATCCAGCTCCAGCTAATGGAGGAAGCGAATGCAATCCAAGTGATCTGACAGAAACACAGTCATGTAATGATGGAGAATGTCCAGGTATGAATGTTGCATTGGTTGATTCTAAACAAAAGTAAAAGTATGCGACGGTCAATGAACACAAATTCATTTTAGTACTGAATGTAGTATAGGCTAGATTCAATACATTTAGAAGTATGATGGAATAAAGGAATTTTATGTATAAGTAATATATCGGGAAATTTTAATTTATCATTTTTATTTCAGTTAACGGTGGTCCCGGACTCTGGTCAGCATGGGGAGCATGTTCTACAACATGCGGAGATGGAGACCAAACTCGTACAAGAGCATGTGACAACCCAGCTCCAGCTAATGGAGGAAGCGAATGTAATCCGAGTGATCTTACAGAAACACAGTCATGTAATGATGGGGAATGCCCAGGTACTATACGAACTTGATATTACTAGATTCTAAACAACTATACAGTGTGATGGTCAATGAACGCAAATTCATATTTGAGCTGTATGTTGTACAAACGTACAACTCAAAACACTTTCGTTATTGAACTATGATTAATTTAAAAAATTAAATGTCCATATGAAATGTTTTTTTATATTTCAGTTAATGGTGGTCCTGGTACCTGGTCAGCATGGGGAGCGTGTTCTACAACATGCGGAGATGGAGACCAAACTCGCACAAGAGCGTGTGACAACCCAGCCCCAGCTAATGGAGGAAGCGAATGTAATCCAAGTGATCTTACAGAAACACAATCATGCAATGATGGGGATTGTCCTGGTATGAAATTAACAAGCTTGGATTTTGACTACTAGATATAGTATATGTTTCTATTTGTGAAAAATTCATGATTTTTTGTGCTCCATCGCATTGTGCTACATATTGTGTAAAATCGTTACTAAATTCTTTGTCGTAAGATGCAAACGAAAATCACATCCATTAAATGATGAACAAATTATTTATACTTGGCTTAAATCCTTCATGCACAAGCACAATGAATGGATAAAGATTGAAAATGATTTGTAAATGAAAACAAACGTATATAATTTGATATTTCTTCATGTATGTGCAGTTATTTTTCTTTACGATTCTATTCATTTATACTAAAAATGAGCACTGCAGTTTTTAGAATCGAACATTCTAGTCACCAAGGGCATTTTTAAATGATGTACGTAATTGTATGATTCTCCTGTTTAAGAAACTTGCAATGAAGGAATAGCTATTCCCTGGAATGATGGACTAAGCTGCATCTGCCCTCCACACAAGCAAGGACCACAGTGTGCTGAAGGTATAGCATTAATTGTTCATCGGCTTTTGAATTACTATTCTCATAGTGCCGCCATTATGGTGTTTAAACTGCTTCTTTATTCGGTACATTAATATTCCATAAATACCAAATAAAACAGACAATTTACCAAACCTTTACCCAGTCTATCGAATGTTTTTTTTATTTTATCAAATGTAATAATATATACAATTTATATTCGCTGAATAGTTTCACTTGTTCTTTGTATTGACATTCACATTTGATATGTATACATGTATTTGTGTGATGCAGCGAATCAATTTGTTTTCCGTAACGCACGCATAATTCAATTAATTATTTGTACATTCGGTATTTAAATTATTTATATTCGGTAAATACCGAACCCACATTCGATAAATTTCGTTATTTTTCGATAATTTACGAGACTTTCAGTCACGTGATATATTTGTACGATGTAGAATAGCTGCGCGGCCATTTTGCAAATCTCGAAGTCACGTGACAAACAAAATATCGAACAACAACGCAAGTTATCGAAATTACTTTGCTTTCGGTAAATAGCAAATTAGCTTTCGGTAAAATGCATTTACTATGTCATAGAAAAATAAACCATTTGGTAAATATAGGCAAACTTATTTCGGTAGGGTTCAAATAGAAATTCAATATTGTGCATATAATGTGTTACTCTTAAGAAATACCATAACGCAAAAAATATCATTTAACGAATGAAATATGTAATTTAATGCACATAGTATTAAGTGATTGGCTACTTTGAAAACTTAATTTGCTGTAACAAACATATAAACGTTTTTACCGAATGGAAAAATGATTTAGCGAATATGAATGTTTCATATATCGAATATATTTGAATTTAATGAATAAAGAAGCAAAAATAATGCCATAGGCCATAGCATTAGACTCTTTCTTCTCTATTTTATTTTGGTAATTAGATGGATAAATCAGAAAAAGAGACGAGGAGGTAGATTGAGTTAATAAGTTTATACGACTTGTTAAACTTGTAAATCTATTAGGAATCACTTTTGATCAATCAATTTATTATGCTTGACTCCGAGTTCCTATATGCTTTTTTCGAATATAAAGAAATTCAAATCAACGCAAGGTGAGGCACAAACAATTTATCGTACCATTTCCACCACTATTAACAGTATTTATATCTTATTAATGCAAGTGTTGTTACCCTTTTCTTTATAGATGTCGTTGGTGTTTCTAGCTGCGGGTGTCAGTGGACAGCAAATAGTACGCTTCTTTTATATAATCTAAGCTATACCTATAATGAATAATGTAGTTTATTTTTCTAAGTATAAGTATTTAAAAAATCAAAATTATCTAGTAGTATATAACATAATAGAATAAAAATATTTATAGGATATTCTATGATTTTGAGGAATACCATTTTTATCTACGAGGTGATATTGATATCTGCATGAGAGAGCAAAGCGAACGAGTGCATATAATTATATATCAATATCATAGTAATAGTATATTAAAATGATATTCTGAAAAAATCATAGGATGTTCTTATTATCCTCTACTTAGAAGGAGTGTACTAAATGTATAATATCATTGCCAAATGAATTTCATGCCAAATATAGTCAATTTGGGGAAATCAACAAGCGGAGTATATAGTCACAATATCCTCCGCATATTGGGTTTTCCGGAATATATCGTCACGATATCCTCCGTCCGGAGTATATCATCACGATATCCTCCAGTTATTCATTTTGCCAATAAATATCAAATTTATTTTTTAATGTTATTATACATTTAGTACACCATTTAGTACAATATATTTTATAATTAATTTCAAGTCGACTCGTTTTTTCAACGTATTCAGACTTAACATCCTCAATTTCAACTATACTGATCGGAGCATTTGAGTTTAATGTATATTGAATATAAATTATAGTATTAATTGTAATTGTAGGTGATGCCTGCGCCTCTGACCCCTGCCTTGGACAAGGCTCTATTTGTATGAACACATTCGGTGGTAACTATAGATGTCTTTGCCCTCCTGGTTCTCGGGGCAAGCAGTGTGAACTTGGTAAGTTGTAATAATGGTGTATGTAAAATATCAGTACTTGTTTAAGAACATTCACACGTATGTTATGTTTTGTATAATAATTCTGACTAAGGGTGTAATTCATTCAATTTACTTCTATCCAATTTGTTTGTCAACAATGTTAAAGATATTTTAAAAGGTGGCCCACAGATTCGATCCTTAAGATCACATTTTGCATAAATACATGGGAGACTAATCAACATAATTAATGTTCCAAAGTACAGAACTAGACAAATTTCCAGATGATGTATAATACATTGAGGTATATTATCTTGGCTTAGTGGTTGATAGGAGAAAGTCATTGCGAACCATGTATAACGCACCTTATTGTTTCCTCTTCAGGTGATTTTTGCTTTGTGTGCTCAAGCAGAAGATTTCGTAGAGCCGAGTGTACACCAATGGATTCTGCCCCAGCATATATACGTGATGGGACTCTCGGAGTACCAACTTTGAGCAGGCAGATATCAAAGTAAGTCTCATCCGGGTTTGTGGTATGGACCATAGGCTAAGATCGATAGAAATCATTTTAAATAAAGATGGCATGGTAATCGATCTGTGTTTATCCATGAAAAAGATAATACTGGATTCTGTTGGTGCTGCCATCTTTATATCGGCCCAGACCCTATGGTATCGACACACAGAGAGCCACGTGTTATCATTTAAATAACTAAATTACACACTAGTGCCCCATACACTTTCCTAGAGGTCTAATAGAATAGTATTGTTGTTACTGTTATGTTATATCAAAACAACTGCAAATGAAGCCATGTGTTCAAAATTAAGAGAGGGGTCCGACAGCAGTTTCTTGAGGGATATAGGGTTTGAGTTTAATCGGAGTTATACAACACAGAAACAAACTAGTACTGTTCAGTTGGATCTGCATAATAAGATCAGAATGAAGATTCTGATTGGCCATTCTCATGAAAATATTGTAATATTGATATAAAACCAATGGTTCTCACAACTGATTGGTTACATTTTATGTCAAAATACAATTGCATTTCGATCACTTGAAACGATAGATCATGTAATTTTGAAATATTTAATCATGTTAAATTCTTGTTTTTCAGGGCAGCATGTACTTTGGATGATACCTGGGGAATGAGTTGGTCAGCCAACCGAACTATGTGGGTCGATAATGGATGCAGGGCACGATTCTGTCTTACCTTTTCGCCATAATAAGTCAAAATCAGCAGTCAAGATGAGTCGCTTGTAGAATCCAAATATACAAATCTGGGACATCATATTGACACTCACATAAGCTATATGGACTGTGTAAAATAAACATCGCGGCAACGCTGGCCGTTGTGCAAGGTTCTGGGCCGATATAAAGATGGCAGCATTTATAGATAAACACATATTACCACTTATACGGACTTATACAGTACACCAACAGTTTTTTTCAAAATGTGAGTTTAACTTGTTTCAAGATCATACCTTGATAATTGTTGGCCTCGTGTTTTGATGAATCTGCATCTACATGCATATCTTAAAGATGTTGGTAATCGATAACCATGCCATATTTATTTAAAAATTATTCCTTTCGGCCTTTGCCTATGGCAATGTTAAAGAATATTCACTTATTGGTGCTATAGTTGTACCAGTGTCATTTGTCGTTTATATCATTTCAAACTAAACACGACAATGGATATGAACAGCCAACTCTGATTACAAGTGACAGCATATTTCTTTTCTTATTTTCGAGTCATTTGAAGACAATTTAATCGTACAGAAATTGAACTTCATGAAATTCCCAAATTATACAATTGATTTAGGTTTGTGGATGAAAACTGTGCAAGAATTCACCCTAGTGCTGAAACTTTTAAATATTAGTCTGGATTTTGATATTTGAACATGTACTTAGATTATTGTACCATATTTTCATACTTTCATAAACGAGTCGTATATTTTGCAGTATTACGTTGGTATACGTTTGTAATGTGTCTTGGTGACAAAATAAATGTTTTTATAGCATCATAATACGAGCATGCTCTGTTTAATTCGAAATAACAAAGGGATATTAAAATATTTGATGAGGTGACAACAATGATTCGGATCGGCGTTCTGTTAAGCTCCACGATGGTTTCGTCAGAACTTACCTTCTTCTAAGGCCACTTTATCGTGGCCTTCGTCCATTAAAGATAAATCCCTGCATGTATCTTACTCTGCCAGATGTGAGTCATGTCGCTGTGTACGGGTCATGTCGTAATCTTGTCGTAATCTTGTCGTAATCATAAAATTTGAAATCAAAGGTTCGCCATTTATCCACGTCACAATTTGAATTGCGAGTTTCGGTCTTAAAATCACAAAAACACACATGAACTGATCAATGTATTAGTTCACTTCTTCTGGATAACTTATAGAACTAACTAAGTTAGATCTAACTTTGAATTTACAGCCAGTTACTAATGTCAGACGTTAACGACATTTCGTCCAGTTTTCGAATATTGCCATTTTTCTTGGAGCCGTTTGTTTTAATTTAAGATGAAATCCTGACGAAATCATCCAATATCTCATCAAGGAGCCCAGCCAGTTCCATTTTAATTCATGAAATATTAACATGACGGTTTTTAGAATATTACTTAAATTCATTGAGCCTCAACTAGAAATTTTACAATAGTTCAAGGTGTTCCAGATGGAATTACTCCTAGCCAAGAATTGGCCAGAGACTCGAGTAAGTCAGAACGACTTAGTGGTATGTTTCATACTTAAGATTTGATAGTTTACGGTATCATGGACTCATGGAGTCTCATCTTCAAAAGAATTGCTACTTACATGTAGCTGTGACATCACCCAATGGAATATACACTAGTTTCATTGGTTTAACAAAAGGGGTCGGGATTTATCGGAAATGAATATTGTTTAATAAGTCCAATCAGAATATCAAAACAACATCGTCGCCTAACCTTCCACTGGGTTTAGAGACCAAGTAACAACGTTGAAACGTGAATCAAGATGTTGAAATAAAGTATACTGTGTATTACCCATAATTATGGGTCTTAAAAGAGTGGATCATATGTATGGGTCAATTGATTAACAGATAATCCCTGTCTGTAATTTCCTATTTAAACTATAATCATTTAATTAGCGTTAAACCAATCAATTCGTTACTAATTTTAAGATACGACAAGTGGAACAACATGTTTCAATAGTCAATGACTCTATCATAGTTCGCCAAAAGGACTGGATTGTTATATAGACTATCGTGCAAATAAACAGTACACTAGCCCCCTAATCACCAATAATAGCAGAGAAAATCAAATCCAGTCAATACTCGTTCTATTCCTGTAGCTACTTTTACAACAGTGTTAGTTGAATATTGATCAAATAGTGTCATTTACTCTGAGAAATGGGATGTTGTCACGTTCGTATAACTTCGCCAACCTTTATCGCTTTTGAGAATTTTAATATGAAAAATGTCATATAAATTGTACATTTCGTTATTAAGGGGCGCTTTCTCATTCCCATGTTTAACTCCTATATTCTTGCTTTTCTCTTTACTTTGTTCCAATTTTCACAACCTAGGTAGGTTCCATCATCTAGCTAGTTTCTGAATACCACACGCCGATGTGATGTTTTAATCGATGTATCTATCTTTATCATGATGTGAATCCGCCATTTTGTTTTCATTAACAGCGATATATGTAATTTGACAAACGTGCGATGAGTATGATCCCAATAAAGATTTCCATTGAAGTCGAAATTATTTTTGATCTCTGGGGGTTTCCCCCTCTTTCGTCAGATACACTATCCAAATACCATGTTGATGTCACTGTATCAAAAGCATTGATGTCTTAATTGAAGTCATCATTGAAAATCCATTTAAAACGCCAAAATATTCATCAATTATTGAATACATTTTCTTAATTGATAATGTCTTAATTGAAGTCATCAACGACAAATATGTTCAATTTAATGTGAATAACATTTCTTTAATAGTACATTCACTCAATAAGAAATAAAAATACAGGAAACAAATGGGACCATAAACAGTTCAGTTATGATTGCAAAATTAAATATGGACTGGCACTTATTTTCTCAAATGCTGAAGTATGAGGAATGTGTTTTGGGATGTACATGCAACTATAAGGTACATGTACATGATTCCAAAAGTTGGCTTTTGTGAAAACAACTAAATTAGCGCTTGTCCATTGCCAACATGCAATAGATCTTGTGTCACCATGTCACGGAAAACGAACACGTCGTTTTTACTAATGTTTCGCCTTAGAGTATAAAGATTATTGGCGTTTATTCCACCATCGGGTAATATTGGAATAAGTTGATTATTCCAGCAATATGACAATTACTATATACGATAATTTTTCCAGTGTCATTAACATCAATTCATGTCAACCTTTCAGGCGTTCTCATATTCATTCAACTAACGATGTAGGAATGACGTAAATTGTAACCAATACTCTGATTGGTCGATTTAGGTTATTTGCATCCGACATAATCCATTGATTTCTGTTGAGCTCATCCTCGGGCCCAATATCGCGACTATACACACATTCCTCATTTACTCGTCTCTGCTGCTTCAAATCTACCGCTTGTTCGCTAAGCTATTTCTTGTTCATAAGTTTCAATAATTTAACACCATATTAGGAAACTAGCAGATGGATATATACGGATGAGATTATAGCCTGGTAAGTATAATTAATTTAAGTTGTAGATTAGTTTGGTATTTGTTGTATTTTTACCACACTTCGACAACAGCAGATAGAAATATAATTGTTTTAAACCTTTGGCCAGAGTTTATCGCATTCGATTTCCTAATTATAAACTTATATTTGTTAGATATCTTCTGTTCTATTATATTAAGATGGTGTTTTTAGAGAATCGTGTGTGTTCTCATTTGTACAACAAATCACCACGTGAATCTAAATAGAAGGGTTGTATCTTGAATCAGTTGAAAAAAACATAAAATATAATAAGCCTCATAATTGCACTTGGTCAAAGACTCTTTGCCATTCATCGATTTGTAATTTATTAAAAAAAGTAATGTTGTTTGAGAAACTGTAATGGTTCATTTTCGCGATAATTTTTATACAAAAAAACTTGTTTAATACCTATTTTCCTATTTAATAAAGTAAGATTTGCTAACTGAATTTTAACAACGGTTAATCTAGGATCTTAGAGGGTTTGGTACCATGTATCCTAAAAGTTATTGACAGCTGAGGCAACCCATTGAATTGAAAATTTGCGTTGACTTTTGTCACAGTACATTCCTTTACATTTTGTAATCGTACAACTTGTCCAAATGGTTTTGTCATTCTGTTTATGTACACTTTTAGCTTCAGAATTTGTAGCTGAATCTGGGGAGTGCAATATTGAGGATAAGGTGTTTTGTATGCCCATCATCAATTTCGGGTTCATTTTCATTGGAAATAAAGAAACATACGGAACAGAATAGCGAGTACGTATTTTTAACGTGAGCATATTCGCTCGTGTCATATGTAGGTAGATAAGATTAAAAATCGTCACACTACGCCCACCTTAAGATATACACTTGGATGCCATCACTTGCAGTTTTTGTCATATCCTAATAAGTTCCAATATTGAACTGAGGTATAGATGTTCAATAGACTACCAGGAGTGAAATGATGCCTTAATCAATAACTTCTACAATACAATGCTATTTAACAATGCACAAGAGGTGTCTTGAAATACAATATATGTGTACCTATTATGTATAAGTATTAATTTTAAGAAGTTTATGTGAAAGCCTTGAAAATATTGTAATTGTATCAATGTAATGCTTATGTAGATCTCGGATGGAGCCGCCATTTGCTCTCAAAGACATGGCTCAAGGAATATCGGACACTGTTTTTTGTTATCTGCCATAGCTGTGTCTCTGTCTCTCTGTCTCTCTTACTGCTAAGCTAGCCGTACACTAATCGTGTTTTAAAACTACCTAGACATTCTTGCTTCCACGTTTTCTTATTTATCAGAGCCGCTCTTTATCTAATGCTTGGGAGGGTGTATTCCGAGGGATAGTGCAGTCTCTGGGTCGCACAATGCTGTCAATCTCTCACTAGCCAAAACACCATTTTCCTGTATTATTAATTCCATGAACAAATTGTACCATTATAGAGAATACTGTATTTAATTAACGCACAATGAAACCTAAAAGAACAATCCCTGAAGAACTGGCCGTGGTCAGCAGAAAGGACTGCTAGAGAAGACAGCAGAGATGACTATTATTACAATCACTTAATCAAAGCTCATTAGTCTTATTCAATGGGTTTATGGAAGGTCTGCTAAACAGTTGACAAAGTGATTAGCTTAAACCTAATTTCCACTCCGGACAGGAACCCTTCTAATAAGCACTACTCGACTGTGCATTGGTTTAGTTACAGTATTACCAAACCAAGTAATTAAAAAACATGGGGAGGATACCCATTATCATGTATAGTTTTCCATTTTGTATTCTTCCAAATATTTTGTTCTTTACTTTTAGTTTAATGATTGTGTATTCATTTTCTATACTCTTATAGGAATAATCCATCGTAAGTTATCCCGTGCTATTGTTCTATAAATTGATCTATTTCTGCTTCATATACACAGAAACCATGTTGACCTATCTTGATCAATATCTTAGCCACTGTAGCCGCACACTCTGTAAACATCACACTTGCTTCTGTATGTATATTATACTCATATTAGAAAACATTTTAACATATTTTTAAAAAGTTAATCACACCTTGTTTCTCAATTCTCTCTGTACATGCACTCGCAATATAATTTCTTTATATTAGAATCATGGTGGGCAAATGGATATTAGGTAAAAACAACAGAAGCGATATATTAATTGGGTTTACCTAATCTTAACTGACCATGGGTCATTGAACTTACTAACATGCCTTGCCAGAACTCAGTAATCTGTATTAGCAAGAGTAACTCAAATGGCACACAGTGAAACTTGTACCCTGCGTGCAGAGTCTAGTTAAACTACGAAGACGAAGCTCTCTTTTAAGAAGTGAAGTCAAACGAATGCAAAGGGTATGAAACTTGCAGTTAAAAGTCTCAAATTGGAAGATGGACTCTTTTCTTGAACGTTACGTTATTTTTTTGTTTCTGATGTCGGTGGTTAGGTTGAAACAAGATGAAAAGTGTTCTTTTGACGTTTTTTACGTCAAATCTCAACGTTAAAAGATGATTTGTAGAGATATTTAATTCATCGGAAGAAATATTGAAATATAAGGACAAACTTTGAGAATCATGAAAAAACTAGATTTGACCTAGATTTTGACCTTTGACCTCTCATTTTTTCTTTAAAATCCTCCCACTATTCAAGAACATATAGAAATCTTGACATATTGCCGTATATTCTGTTTAGGTAATAGTTACATTGATCCAGTAGCTTAAGAACCACATTGGTTTCCTGCCAGAATTAGCACTAATGAATAAATCTTCGTCGATATTATATTAAATAAACAGAGCCGGAAATCAAGTGAATATGACTGTGTGTTGTCGGAAATATGCATAGTTAACTGTAAAGATCACTCGAAGAAGTCTTTTGGAGCTAATATATCAATATCTAGAAACTATTTACCGAGTATTTGTATATGTTAGGAGATAAGCCGTTTGCAGGGAAAGCAAAAATAAAAGTATTTACAAAGTCTATTTTCTATTTTCTCTAGTGTTTAGATTAAATCAGACACTATCATTATTATGTCACCGCCAGAAATTGTGGACGGCGTTCGACGATCGGCGTCTATAACAGAGTTGGGCGGTCGGCGTCTATAACAAATGGCAGGTGGTGACATTTTGCATGTTAATGCCTTGTTTCTTATTGGGATCCGCATTGCCTTTCAATAATTCTATGAAATATCCACTATTTGCATTGTCATTGTGTATTAATTCGCTTGCTAATATCCTAAGAATACCAAAGTCGGATTTATCTATTAGTGTAGCAATATCTCATTAAGAAAAGCTTCTTGTGTGTACGATCATCCAATTAAGTCTAATCCCATTAATAAGTCTAGAATTCTGTAATTAATGAGCTTTAATAGCGACCTAATACTTCACTACATATTGGTAGGCGTTTGGGATCCTGGTAATTAAGGATGAATTATGCAGATGAAGCACCACGTCTGAGAACACCCGACCAGGCCCGTAGCCAGGGGGGGGGGGGGTTCGCAGGGTTCGGGCGAACCCCCCCCCCCTGGCCAAAAATTCTTTCAAAATCATGCAGTTTTTTACCATTTTGAGCACTTCTCAAGTGATTTTGACCATATTTGGGCCTAAATTGTCAAATGTGAACCCCCCCTGGAAATTTTTGAAAACTGAACCCCCCTTGGCAAATCCTGGCTACGGGCCTGCCCGACTAACCCCAAATAAGCGACATACAAGTAATTGTTCCATAAACGTTGAATTCCATTCCCTGATATCCATCCTCCGAACACAGGCCTCTAGAACTCGTACCTCGTACCTCCAAGAAGGAACTTAGTGGATGATGTCTGGAACCCTGCGTTCGGAGGATGCTGATATCACAAAACCAGGTTTGGCAAATAAAAGTGATATACCGTATAAAGTAATGAAGAAAACTTTGGAACTACTGGTACAATAGGGGTGCCAGTCTCATGAAGTACTATAGTATGAATTCTATACAAATATCAAAAGACAAAATCATAATGGCCATTGATTTGGTTGTTCTGGAATTGATTCAGCTTCAGCTTAGGCTAATGGAGGGAGGTTGGGGTGGGGGCATGCCAGGTTTGGAATTGATTCAGCTTCAGCATAGGCTAATGGAGGGAGGTAGGGGTGGGGGCATGCCAGGTTTGGAATTGATTCAGCTTCAGCTTAGGCTACTTGAGGGAGGTTGGGGTGGGGGCATGCCAGGTTTGGAATTGATTCAGCTTCAGCTTAGGCTAATGGAGGGAGGTTGGGGTTGGGGCATGCCAGGTTTGGAATTGATTCAGCTTCAGCTTAGGCTAATGGAGGGAGGTAGGGGTGGGGGCATGCCAGGTTTGGAATTGATTCAGCTTCAGCTTAGGCTAATGGAGGGAGGTTGGGGTGGGGGCATGCCAGGTTTGGAATTGATTCAGCTTCAGATTAGGCTAATGGAGGGAGGTTGGGGTGGGGGCATGCCAGGTTTGGAATTGATTCAGCTCCAGCATAGGCTAATGGAGGGAGGTTGGGGTGGGGGCATGCCAGGTTTGGAATTGATTCAGCTTCAGCTTAGGCTAATGGAGGGAGGTTGGGGTGGGGGCATGCCAGGTTTGGAATTGATTCAGCACCAACCTATGGGCTTATTGAAGACATTGGAATAGAGAATACGGGGGTCTAAAAATTTGGATCTTGTATATAGAGAAAAAATATAAAATATATAATATAATATAATAACCCCACATACATTGCCCTCCTCGTTGAGAATATTGTGGTATGTTATATCCATCCCCGGGTATCCATTATGTTCCAAGGAAAAATTCCCAGATAAGCTCTTCATCAGCAGAACTTTTCGAATGATCTTCTAAGACATCTAGACCTCGGTGAGGGAATAGCTTTAAATGAGCTAATTGCTTCTGAGACGATGTTGCTATTTTGGCTTTTAGATTGACTGCTTCATGATGAATTGAGGTTGTCTGAAAATAGTCTGTTCATTTGTAAGTTGATCAGATTATGTCATACTCGATCGTATCCT